AATGTGTTGTATGTATTGGTGATAATATAATCTATTGACTTGATTCTCAAACTCTAAAAAAAAAAGTGTTTAATGATTGCGGTGTGTAGTTTTTAAAGTGGTTTGGTGGCAGGTCATAATAAAAAAATTGTCTTTCAATGTTACAATAATAATAATAATAATAATAATAATAATAATAATAATAATAATAATAATAATAATAATAATAATTTATTATATTCAATAAAATTAAATTATATGTTTTGTAATAATTAAAAAATATAATAGGAAATTTATATTTCCATGAAATGGAAAGTTGAGTTAAAAATATGATTAAGAAAGTACAAAATTTGGTGGTGTTATCACACAGCAAAATGTTGCATTTTTCCGAAAGCGCTTTTGATAGGATGATTTCCAACAAAGGCGCCGTCCAAAAAGTGGAAATAAGATTTTGGTCCGTATTTTTTACAATTATTTTTTGTCAAAAATTGTAGGCCACTAGCTCCTTGGATTCTCATTTAAAGAAATATTGATTTAATAAATTAATTAAATTTGAAAAATGAAATAGAAAATATTTGAGCTTGTCAAATTCAATCCGATTGAAAAGCTAGGTGACATGCGAGTATAGGATTATTAGATTGTGATTAGGGAAAGTTGTTGGGAGAGTGCTGACTCTGTTATAATGTAGTATTGTTCATAACTTTTTAAGTTAAGTTCAATCTGCTAAAGTACAAAGAGTCAATATATTATCCATACTGGAGATCAAATCTATGATCTCTCATTTGAAAGAGTCACTTTAATTCATGTCACTAGACCATAAGGTATTACGGGGAGTTTGATTCAATGAATATTTTTAAGTAACTTGATGTTTTCGAAAAGTTCATATAATCTAATAATTTGATAGATATGAGATTTTAAAAAATTGACAAAAATGTAACTAAAAGTCATTTTTATGTACTCATATGAAGTGTGGATGATATGGCATAGATCTTTTTCAATTTATTTGGCTGAATTATGTAATAAATAAAAAAGTAAGAGTTAATTCTATTTTTTATCCATCTAGGTGACAGTTTATTTTTAGTTTTTTTTTTTTTGTTAGAACAAGTGAACAACCTTATTTAGTCTTAGTATTATTGTTGCATGATCATTTTTTGTCCTTCGTCAACAAAATCGTTGAAATACCATTAAATACAAGAACATTTCGATCTTTATAATATAAAGTAGGTTGATTCGTTATATTTTTTATGCTTATTTTTTTGAAAAAAAAATCATAATTAAATATCTAAATATCCTTGTATTTAACGATATTTAAACTGTTTTGTTGATATATGTCTTAAAGAGTAGAATACAAACTTTGGAATTTAATTTCAAGTTTCATATTTTGACCCAATTTTTTAAATTAAACATTTAAACCCATAATGCATTTACCAAGACTATATGGTATAATGGTACATGGGTTGGACTTCCATTTGAAAGGTTGTGAGTTTGAGTCTTAGTGGATGTGTTATTGGTTCTTTTTGTTACAATAGGTTGAGAAAGACAATACTATATTGTAATAGAGCCAGTAGCATTCAAAAAACCCATAATGCATTTCTTTTTTCTTCATTTTTTTTTGGTTAATTACGAAACAACTCAAATTTAAAAAAAAAAAAAAAATTGCTTTATTAGAAAACATACGAAAGTGTTTTCAAACGAATTTTAGAAAAGAAACATCCTCTAAAAATGTTATACTCAAAAAGTCTGTACATCATAAACCACCAGTATAATCTCATCACTACTATTCTAAAAACAAGCTAAGTAAACATATTTGATAAGACAAACCTAAATGCCCATACAAAAAACACAATTTTTTTTTTTTAATTTCATGACTTGACAATTTTTAATAAGTTGAGATTTGAAATTTAAAAAAAATTAACCATAAAAAAATGAGTTAATTCCATTTTTAGCAATAGATTATAGGTGACAGTCCACTTTTAGTCATTTTTCAGAATATCCTCTTTGATTCTAGTATTATTGTGACATGATTATTTTTTGTCTTCCCTCAACAAAATCGTTGAAATTTGGTTAAATACAATGACATTTCGATCTCTTTTATACAAAGCGGATTGATCCACTATTTTTTATTTTTATTTAAAACATCATAATTGAAAATCTAAATGTTCTTGTATTTTACAAAATTTAAATTATTTTGTTGATGAGGACCAAAAATTATCATGTCACAATAATATTATGACTAAATGGAGATGTTTTGAAAAAAAAAAAAAAATGACTAAAAGTGAATTACCACCCAAAAAACTAATCCAAAAATGGAATTAACTCTAAAAAATTAGGGTAACATTTGTGTGAGACCGTCTCACGAGTCTCAATCCGTGAGACGGGTCGGATCTTTTATTAATGTGTCAAATCTTTGATTAATGAATCGGATCTTTGACCTCATCAAAGATCTACCCCGTCTCACGGATCAAGACCCGTGAGACGGTCTCACACAAGTTTTTGCCCAAAAAAATTATCATATAAGAAGTGACAAATTTGAATGATTTTTGTAGGGGTGGAAATCATTTTTTCACTTGATAAATGAAAAATGTCTCATGGTATTAGTTTAGTGGATGAGAAATCTTTCTTAAGACCTCCTTTCAGAGACCGAGTAGAAATTCTATTCTTACCATAAACATTTGGAATTTAAATTTATATTGGGATCGGGAGTGAGAAATGATGTTTATGATATAATCTAGCAAAGGCGAAATATCTGAGTTATAAAAAGACAAGTGAAAATGATCAAATTAGCCCTCAAACATTACCCAAAAGTGCAATTAAGCTGACTAACATTTAAAAAGTTCAATTAAACACTCTAACTTATCATTTTGGTTCATTTAACCCCCAAATGACCTGTTGTTTACCCGAGACAACCGGTCATAATTTTCCGTCTAACATTCCGGCGATCGGCGAACGTAATGTTACCGGCTCCGATGCATGAAACGAAAAAGAAAAGATGTCCACGCTCGTGCTCGTCGAATCGTTTGTTCGTTTGGAGAAGACGAACATACAGAGTCGCGATGGCACTGGTCGTCTTCTCCAATGGAGAAGCCAGACTCTGTCTATTCGTCTTCTCCACTGGAGAAGACGAACAGACGATTCTCCAGTGGAGAAGACGTCTGCACTGGTCAACGTACTTCTTCAATGGAGAAGACAAACGGCGTCTTCTCCAATCGTCTTCTCCATTGGAGAAGACGACGGAGAAGACGACGACCAATGGAGAAGATGATGTCTAGTGGTCTTCTCCATTGGAGAAGTCGACTAGTGTGGTCTTCTCCAATGGAGAAGACGAGTGTCTGTTCGTCTTTTCTAATGGAGAAGACGACCGCACTGGTCGTATTATCCAATGGAGAATACGCCGTCTGTAATATGTTCGACGTTGTTGGAGGTCGTCCTCTTCTCCGTTCCATACATCGACGCTAGTAGTGTTACGTTCGCCACCCGTCAGAATGTTGGACGAAAAATTATGACCGGTTATTTCAGGTAAACAACAGGTCATTTGGGGTTAAATGAATCAAAATGACAAATTCGAATGTTTAATTGAATTTTTTAAAGACTTAATTACATTTTTGGATAATGTTTGAGGGTTTATTTGGCCCTTTTTTTAAAAGAAAAATGAAAAATGAAATGGCATAAAGAGCAAGGACACTTTGGACGGAGATACTGCAGCTGCTCTCTCCAATATTGCTGCCTGTTGTTGTCGGCATGGGTAGTTCTGTCCAGCTGGCATGGGACCACCCTCCCTGCACCTGCAACATGTCGCATTCCAGTTTTGACAGCTCATACCCAGCTCAAACTGTACCATTTTCCATTTTTGCCCCTCATTCTCTCCCACCCGCTTTTGCACGATTCTCCGCGTACGGTTGCGCAATTGGTGACGTCACACGCATTGCCCACCTGGCGTCATTTGAAGTGGGACCCCCTCATTCCCTAATTCCTTTGGAGATTCCTCTCTTGCTTTTGTGAATATAACTTTTTAGTTTTATCCTACGGAGTATCATTTTAGAACAACATTAGTATTTCATTGGACCATTATCCTATGAATATATTCTTTTCCTTCTAAACTGATTGTTTTTTTTTTTAAAAAAAAATTTTAAAGAGTTATATCTTTTTGTCTATTTTAATTTTTTTTAAAAAAAATTATACTAAATGCTAACATGATGCTTTATTATTAGTTAATTCAGAATAAATTATTCTTCAGTCTTGAACTATATTATTTACTCTATATAGATTTAATCCACTTGTAATTTGACTTTGGTTGTCAACAAACAATAAGTCACTAGAGAATTTGTATCAAATATTATAACTTATGGCAAATATTAAAACCTTTTATTGTTGATTGACTACTTGTACAATCATCAATCGACAATTTTAATACGATAAAATCACATTACATAAAATAAGATTTGATACAAATAATATTTAAATGCAATTGCAGTCCAAAGAAAATTTTGAAAGAGTGAATTGTCGGCTTTACTCAAAATATTCCACCCGTCTGACTTTGTGTCTTGTTCAGTTAAAGAGACTTGATTGAAATTATTTTTAATTCATTCAATTTTTCATAATGTTAAGTTTAATATTAATAAAGTACTATTAAATACAATAAATTTAAAGAAATAATTAAAAATAATAAACAAACAAAAAAAAATAATTTAACCAATAAATAGTAAACTAAAATAAAATTGAGGCCCTCCATCCCATGTAACCAAAGAGAAATGTGATATTCGTTCCTTGTCTGTTCATTTAAAAAGATGAGAATTGAGGCGAATATAGAAAGTTTAAAAAGAAACATAATATAAATTGTACTATGTATAAAATAAAAACTTAATGATAAACTTAAGTAAAACAGATAAATAAAATGAGACCGAGAGAGTATTAGATAGGCAGCACAATTGTTTTAATATCTCAAAGCACAAGTGCAGTAGAGGTGCAGGCTGCACAAGAAATTAAACAAAGGCCAACTCAAAAGGGAAACAGAGTGCACAAGATTTTTGAAGGGAAATAAAATGGAGTTAATATATAAATAAAAGGAGGCATTCAAGGTTGTGAGTCAGGGAATTTAATTTTTAGAAAAAAAAAAAGAGAAGAGAAAAGACAGACATAATCCTTCCTATATGGTTACCTTCTGTGAGATCTGTCACCTATTTTTGCTTCTACTGTAATACATGTACAAAGAAATATCCGCCCGCAAATGGCTGAGAGTCTGGATCAGCAAAATAGCGCAACTCTCATTCTGAATTGTACAATTACAGCTGTTTGTAGAAGAGAATGTAAGCTTGCTCATGCAGCACTTTGCTTGTTGGGATTGGGGTGACGGCAGCATCATCATAGCGCAGCCACTTGCCACTCGGATGGCGGGCATCAGCTGTATAGTGACCCTTAAAAGGGTCCATCCCATGATGCGTTATAGTCGCAACAAGCTCATACCTCCGACCCTGGTGTAGTTATTATATACATAAATATGATTCCAATTTTAAAATAAGACAATCATCAAGATCATATATATATATATATATATAGAAAAGAAATGGGCAGCAGGCAGTCGGGCATTGTGAGGTGCACGCTGCGGGCATGTGAGGTGCACGTTGCGAGCGCCCAGTGTGCATTTTTATTTGACTCAAAAAGGGAGAGAATCTCACCTCGGAATGGGGAGAGACGAGCAAATCCCGACCAAACACAAGCTCCAAAGGGAAGTGTACGGGTTTGTGCAACTTGGTACTTCCTTCACTTCCATAACTGAAGCGCATCAAATGCAACACCATAATATCAGAAAGCTCTAGAATCTTGACAGACTTGCTCGCACTCACCACTTCAGCCTGAAACATATCATGTTTCAAAATGTTGATATTCACATAATATATCTTGTCGATATTCCAGAAGAATTTGACAAGGATTAATTTCCTCTATTCCTAATTTCAATCTGTCAAGTAACAAACGGGAAAAGAGAAGACATCTTGTTTTATAAAAGCCGTTTAAATTACCTTCCCATCTGCTGATGTTCTGTACCCTTCAAGAGTCTCTGGTGCAGAAAATAGCCGGAGAGCATCTTCTATTGTACAAACAGGATCCGGGCAAATGTTAAGGTGGAGCAACATAAATGGTTGTACAGTTGCTGAGGCTTTATTACCTGCATAGATTAATTAAAGCAAGCTGACACAACTCTCAAACAAAGGACGAATTGACACTAGTAATAGATTTATGTGTGAGCCTATATCATTAGTTTCTATTTGAAGAGTGATACTAGTTTGCGGGTACAAGAGTACACTAAAGGCCAGTAATGTAATTAACTTCCCTTCCGCAATAAAGAAAAAAAATGCATATAGATGCAAAAGAGAAAGAGAGGGATCAATGATAATCCACACATAAACACTGAGTATCAAATACCAATGTGGCATACCTCTTGCCTTCACAATGCTCTTCAACTGACCACCAAAAATTTCACTTAATTTTGAAGGGACAAAGCTCTGTGTCCTGGTAATTGCAGTCCTATTTCGTGGGCCAACAGTTTCCCAATTTTCATCATCATCCACATGTACAGATGAAACCAAAGAGGAGTTCCTTCCAACACCATTTGGCAACTGACCTTCTAATTTCAGCAATTCATCATGCATCTGATGCATAATAAAACTGAGGAATTCTTGAGCATCTTCTTGCCTGAAATAATTGCAAATTCAACCACAGCACAGAAAACATGAGTATGACTGAAAATTTCAAACCAATACAGTCCTGCTAGGTTTGCTACTGCTACACACGCACAAGTATTGCACCCCCACTTGGGTCAAATTGAATCTAAATATCCAAAATATTTCTTTATGTTTGTATGAGACAATATATTTTAAGGCCATCCAGTTAAGACTGCCAGTAAGAATTTCAGTAGGAAGTAGTGGTAATTTTATTACCAGGAAATCAAAAGAAACAAATCATAGAAGAAAAGTTCCAAGAAAGGAAAATCAGTAACCCAAGAAACTGCACCTAGAAGTAAATAGACCACAAAGGGTGAGGGTTAGTTAGGTGGCAAAAGTTAACAGTAAATTTCTGCACAATATTCATGGACAGTACATCATAGAATACTGTAAAGAAATGCTTAAATAAAATAAAATTCTAAATAACAATGTTTAATAGAGTATTAATTGAAAATAATAAAATTTAACTTGTTCATTTCTTCATCAATTTAATGATAGCAAGTGGAATGTTCGTAACTGAGAAATGGACAAGAGGGGAAGAGAATCACTTAAATACATGCTAACAATCTAATTAAAAATAAAAAGCTTTCTACATTTCCAAGTGCATGAGAAAATATATACTCAATAACAAAATTATAATCACTTGGCCCAAAACTGATTTAAATGAAAAAATATTCAATATATGCATAAACTAAGAATGCTCCAGAGTTAAAGAAAGGCAGAGAAAATCTGAAGCCTTCACCCAATGGCTGATATATCATTTCTTTCAATATTTTACTTACATTTAAGTATGAAACGATTTAGAGTACCAAGTTACCAACTATTAAAATTTACAAAATGTAACTCATGATCCTTATTATTAATTTTATTGAGAATAACTGGAGTAGCAAAGTTTGAAATTCATAGCATGAGTTTACTCTACTGTTCGGCATCTTTTAAGATCTTTGATAAACAATTAGAAAAACAAGGAGGTGAGAATCTAAACTGCAAGATTACAAACAAAACAAAAGCAAATAAAAGATAATATGGCTAGAATACTACATAGTCTGCAAACACTACATACAAACCTTGGTCTGCCAGTCAAGCTGTTTGGGACATCTGGAGTGAAACATTTCAAAACTGATTCAAACATCAGAGGGCGGAAAGGCTTCCCAGTCTCCATAGATACCAGATCTTTTCTCTTCAAATTTGATTTGAGGGGCATATCGAAATCAGAGATAAACTCAACAAATGCACGAAGTGCTGGATAGCCAGTCTATCATATACAAAATTAAATTTGAGTTAAAGTTCAATGTTTCATACTTCCATAGATTATAAGAAGATAACCAAACATGCAAAGTACCTCTGGTATGTCACGAGTTCTAAGTTCCTGCAAGAGTTGCACAAATGGTGCACAAGAAAGCAGGGCCTGAAGGGTTGCACAGAGAAAGCACAGGTTGCCCAAGTTCACTAAACCTCGAGGTAGTAAATATATAATTGTATTAACAGGCCCATTTGATGCTTTTACAACATTTTGTCTGCAATTGCCTACATTAAAGTCCTTTGATTCACCCAATGAAACCCCATCCAAGGAGGTTGATAAGTTAGTCACGTTCACAGTTGATTCCTGCTTTATACTTGATTCCTTTGGTGTGACAGAAGAACCTTCAGAACTCAACAATTGATGTGCTTTGTTGCAAGGTTTCACTTCATGGGCAGTACTGTGGTAACCCAGATCTGAACCACCTATGCTTCCATTTTCTTGTGAGAAGATTACTGGTATTGTTGCTTTTTCAGTACTGCCAGAAGTATTTTTGGAGTTCTCCTTACTAAAAACCTTGGATGGTTGAGCTCCCCTAGAATAATCAACTTTTGTTGGATTTGAGTTCAAAATTCCCACAGATCTTAGGGTTGCAGAATCCAAAGAACCAAATGTAATCTCTACATCATTCTTCATTGGGTGCCCTTGCAAAGATCTAATCTCATCTTCTGTGAATGACCCAAAGATGAAAACCTGATAAAAACAACAGATACATTAGTAAATGACAACAAGAAAAGTATTAATACCAACAAGATCCAGTAATCTTTCTTAGTTTTTGTGATACAAATGTTTACAAGTACTCATCTTTGTAACAGAATTAGAGAAAAGAAAAAAGATTGAAGAAAAGAGTATTTCTTAGGAAGATGATACAAAATAAAAATTAAAAAAAAAAAACAAAACAAAAAACAAAAAAAAAAAAAAAAACAAAAAAACAAAAAAACAAAACAAAACAAAACAAAGCAATCAAGAAGCATACCCTTCAGAGGTAAGTTGAGCCAAGCTCAACACAAGCTTGCAAAATTCGATTAAAGGAAGATTTATTATTAGTATTACTCAAAACCTTTCATAGTTTACATGATTACACTAGTTCACAATCCCCTTTTAATCCACTCCTGAAAACTGAACGCAAGTTCAAGTGCTTTGTCATTGGAGTTGGATTTGAAAGCAATAATAATGACTTATTGTGGACCAATCATTAATTAATTAACAAGCCACTAGCCCTTACCAGATGCATAAATTACCACGTCTGTCTCCATATGCAAAGTAAGAGAGGAACTTGGTCTACTTAGAAGGGACATATAAGAACAGTCTACATAGGTTAAGAAGAAATTATTCTTTTCCCGGTAAGTAACCAAGAGGGCAATCAATCTATGTAATTGCTAATAAAGAAAGTCAACTATACTTTCACCCCTTCTTCAAGAAAATGAACAGAATAATTCCCCAATCTTCACATCAAGCATCTCTGTTAAATTCCAAGGTAGCAGATTACAACATCCAGAACTTGACTAATCAGGTGTGGTGAAATTAATAAAAGTTGCTATCAGGAGCACAAAGCAAAGCTACTCACTCTATTATTTTTCTATGCTGTTGCACTTTCCTTGCAGTGCAGATATAAACTATAGAATTATGCAAGAATCCACTGTGTTTTTCAACCATTTTGGGGGGAAAATCTATCCATAGACCATAGGCATTCCACTACTGTAATATTACTAATGCTATTATTACTTTTACAACTTAAAAGCATTAATGGAAAAGTAAATCCTAGGCTACCACACTACGTCAACCACAGGTAAATGTACAACTCAAATTTATTGTACAAACGTTAGCTTAGCCATAAAAAGCATGGCAAAAGCTAATAACTATCTTGCCATAGCAACATAACTTCAAAAAATAATTGTTGAAATTTAACAATTTTGACATTTCCAAAATTTCCATATACAGGGGGATCTTAATTCTTAAGCTAATTGCAGGACTGAATAACTATTAATTCCTAATCAACAATGCAAAACACTTGAATAAGTATGAATTCAATTTTTTTTAAAGGAAAACATATAATTATAACCGATACACACAAGATAATGACAGATCTTGCACTACAGCAGAAGGAAAAAAAAGGAATGATTTTGAATACCTCCATATCAACCGTTTTCACAGACTTGAGCAGGAAAGCTAGTGAATGGATCAGGAATGGATCTTTTCAGGATTTGAATTGGAAACCAAATGTAGATGATAGAGGAAGAGACAGAAAAGAAAAAACCGAAAGAAAATAATATAGAAATGGGAGAGGCGGAGAGGAGAAAAGTTAGGGTTTATCACTCTTCCTTAGCAAGGACGATTTTGAGTTTGGAGTAGAGGAATGAATGTACAAATAGCACAAACGGTTTTGAGCAAAAAAGAGAATGGGGAGCCTACAATAAAAATGAAAAAAAGTAGTGTAACTAATGGAATATTCACAACATTGAAAATGATTTTCAAATTCCATTTTTGTAATTATTACATTTCAAGGTATCTTTTTAGTAAATTAGTAGGAAAATTAGAGTTGTTGTTAGGGGTAGATGAGTCAAGCTCGCTCATGAGTGACGGTTACTAAAGCGTCACTCGGTCAATATTCAGCGTTTAGAGCAAGGTTCTTAGTAGTTTATTTTATTATTTTCTTTTTTGCATACTTTCTCTTTCAACTTGACAAAAAAAAAAACACACACACACACACACACAAGCAGAAAACAAAAAAATCCAAGCCAAACTTAGAAATATTATGGTGTATTGCGTAAAAAAGATGGATTGTTTAATTTATTTTGCATATTCAAGTTGCATTGAATAGAAATTTTAATGAACTACAAACAAGGTAGAATTTTTATGCTTTCTTTGGTTAGGCTACACCTGTTAGGTATTCCCACTCTGAGCTTCAGGCTAGAAAAGATGTCCCATATCAAAAATTTAAATAGCTTTAATCCCCAGCAAAATCCTATATGAATAGGCACTGAAGGGAAGATATGTTGCAATAATAACTGGCGACAATGTAACTTCCAGTTGAGCTCAAATTCTCATTTTTAAATATTTTGATTTGATGCAATACCATTATTACACTTTGAACATTTTCAACTTTCAAGGCAAAGCACTGTAAGTCCTAACAATAAATTACCTATTTTATATCACTACATGCTTGAACAGGCGGTATCCTGAGTTTTCTGCATACCACAAGTTTCAACTTTTCTGTGTAAATTTTTAGTATCCTGGCATTTACGAACTAGTACAGAGTACAGACAAGTTGTCTCATACCAAAAATTTACACATGATGAATCTCCTGCAAAATCCTATATGAATAAGCACTGAAGGGAAGATATATTGCAATAATAACTGGTACAATGTAACTTCCAGTTGTTCTCAAATTCCCATTTTTAACAACTTTGATTTGATGCAATACCATTATTATACTCTGAACGTTTTCAGCTTTCCATGCAAAGCACTATAAGTCCTAACAATAAATTACCTATTTTCTATCACTACATGCTTGAACAGGCGGAATCCTAGCTTTCCTTAATACTACAAATTTCAACTTTTCTGGGCAAATTTTTGGCATCCAGGCCTTTCTAAACTGGAACACAAAAGTTGTCCCATACCAAAAAAATCATTGACCCAAAGGTACAGTTACAACAATAACTGTTGGCAGTGCAATTCACTCACTCGAAACCCCTTATCACAATTCCAACGTTCTCATATTTTTCCACACAAATCCCATAATCCCTACGAATCCTAACAATAAATCCTAACTGTTGCTTCACCCCACAGTAGAATCTCACCAACCATCCATCCACAGCACAATCCACTGCACTCCACTAAGTTCCAAAACCGTGGGGGAAAAAAAACACAAAAAACAATGGCAATATACAAGCAAACGACATTGCGCAATACAATGGCAAAGAACATCCAATACCTTGGGATCAGTCATATTCGAAGACTGGAGCAGGACAGGCTCAGAGGAGAGCCAGTGAGGAGGCCATCGGAGAAGAAGCGGCGCCGTAGAGGGGTGTGAATCGGGAGCCAAATGCAGGAGACCAGGAAGACAACAGAAGACATGAAAATGCGGGGGGAGAAGAAGAAGAGAGGAGAGGGGAAGAGAAGAGAAGAGTGTTTGTTAGGGTTTGGTCTCTCTCCCTCTTGTGAGGATTTCGGGTTTGGAGGTGAAGAAAGTGTTGTAATGGCGGACAAAAAGGGTTTTTGGGCAAACAGTGAGGAGAAATGGAGAGCCCAAACGGAGACAATGGGGGAAGAGGCACTGTAAATAATTGGAGACGACACTATTTTTGGCAACCCGAACCAGCATATTCGATCACGCCTAAAAACTTTTTTCCCTTCTTTTTCTTTTTAAATTTAAATTCTAATAAATGCAACAAGCCAACAACTAACAAGCTTACCAATGTTTACATGTTGGAATCTATGGTGTATCATGCACTTCTGTTTGTATATATACTTGCATCTTACTCTTAGGACTCTGTATCTTAGGACTCTGTATTTAAGTCAGTTCATAACTCTTTATCCTAGTTATTATGTGACTCTTCCTGATATATATTCTCATTAGTATTTGCACCCTTGCGATACACGGATAATGTTTATAAAATATATATAATTCAACACAAATAAATTATCAAAATCAATATACCTAAAGTTATAAAAAGATATGTCAATTTAGTTACACGTAAAATGAAAATGTAGCATATTCAACTAATATCACGAATATTGTCATATATAATATTTGTTATTATGCCTTTTAAAAAATATATATATACAACTCATTTCTCTGCAAAATCAAGAATCTTTGAAATGAAGTTCCGTCCTTCCTTAGGATTCAATGATTTGCAATGAAGTTGGATAAAGATAGAGAAAACGATCACAATCTCTTTATCACTTTTCATACGTTTTTCTGAGCTTTATAAACTAATCTATTAGGTTCAGATAAATCTGTAAATTCGTGTATACGGATTCGTTAACGGGTCAGGCTAAACATGAACACGACACATTAAGGTTAACGTGTTCAAATTTTTAACATGAACAAGAACACGAATTGTTAACGACTTAAACATGTTGACACGATAGACACGTTTTGTTAACAGATTTCGAGTCGTGTCGACACGATATGACACGAAACCTGTTTAAACCCGCTAAACCTATTAATATATTTTTAAAAACTAAAATTTAAAGTTAAGTTATATAAAAAACGAAATAAAACCTATCATTCAATCCATCAAACAAACTAAAAAAATAAAATAAAATATTCAATTTATAACATTCATAAAATGATAAAATAACATCCAAAAATCATAATTAAAGAAGTTCATGCTAGTTTTTAAAATAAAATTGAACACAATAAAAATTCAAATTTCATATTATTGAACATCAATAATTGGTATAGGATTTTTGGCCTAACGTAGTAAATTCATCATTAGTCATGTTCATGATATCTTTTGTAATCTCATTTATGAAAATGGTTCTTAGGCGGTTATAAACATGTTTGTGTAAATGAGTTAACCCGATATTATTAACAGATTAAACGGATTCTTAATAGGTTTAACTGGTTGACCCATTAAGACATAAAACATAACGGGTCCTTAACGGGTCAACCTGTTAAGGACCCGGGACACGTTAAGGCTAAACACTAATCCGTTATTTTCGTGTCGTACGAATCGTGTCTATAATTGTCAGGTCTAGGTTTAGATATTAATATACTTATTAAATAAAAAAAAAAAAACATTACTTAAAAAAATCATATGACAGCCATGTTAGCAAAGTATTCGGTTACAAACATGTAAATATTGATAATCATGCGAAAATAAATATATAATGAAATTGTGATTCACGATATAAAATAAAAGACTTAAAAATATTTAAAAATAATTTAAAATGATAAAATCAAACAATTTTCTCAGAATTTATTGAAAAAAAATATTTCTTTCCTTAGCAATACGAAATTGTTTGTTTATAAATATTGAACATCACAACATACTATCAGTATATGTTATAAACATTGTCTTATTCAATACCATACAGGATTTGAAAAATATAAATTCAAATAAATTAGATGTACTTACAATATAAACATACTTATAGAAATTGCACATACAAAAAGATTACAACATACTGAAATTTTAAGTCGGAGTGAACTACTAACCCAAAAGATATTTATGTATAACTAATCATGGTTAAATACCATTTTTTCAAAAAAAAAAAAAAAAAAAAAAAAAAAAAGTCAAACATGCGTCAAAGTTTGTAAATTATCTAAAAACATAATAAGTGTGAATGAAAGTTATACCCCTGATTTATGTCCGTTTTTTCCGTTAAGTTTTTTTTGTACATTATGCTATAAAGGTTGTACATTAAAATATTTTGGACAAACATACCCCTACCGTTATAACATCTGTTATCTTTTCCACTATTGTTACCATGCACATGCATCCACCATATATTTTCTTATCTTCTTCATTAATAATAATATATACACATTAAATATTTGAGTTATACGTTAATTATTACATAAATGTAAATATCAAATTTATAAAAATGATTTACATTATTATTATTATTTATAATAATTTAAATATCTAAAATCTAAATAAATTTAAAATTTTAATATAATGTATTAATATTGGGCACTTATTTTTTGCGCATCGTGCATAAAAAATACTAGTTATAAATATAAAACTAAAAAAATTAGATGGAATAATTATAAATTATGTAAATATAAAATTAAAAAAATAAATAAAAAGAATAATTACATATTAGTGTAAATTTATGCAAATTATGTTGTGCAACCGTGTGCACCACGCATGGTGCACACAGAATTGGATTCATAATTTATATACTATAGATTCATAATTATTGAACTCTGTGTTCACAAATCACAGAACTATATGTTTATAATTTGATAACTATACAGTTTAGAAATTATGAATCTACAGTACAAACTTTTGAAAATCCATTTGCAACCATTTGGCTTACACCCTTTAGGTAAACTTACCAATTTCCAAGTGTGATTTGTCTTAAAGAGTCTAATTCACTTTTAATCGTTTATTTCCATAAGGTACAATCAACTGAACAAATAACATCTTCAAAGGTTTTTTGTTCTTCTTCTAGAACTAGTTGGCAAACAAATTGGTCACAAAATCTCATTTATATCTTTCAACTCAGTTATAGAAGTTATAATATCATAACCAAAACTTTTTTTTTATTTTTCTATTTTAAGCCTTTTGCTTCTTCTCGGTTGATCGGAATCATTTCTAAGACAAGATGTCAAAAATAGTGCATGTTCATTTCCGAGTGGATTATTAGTATATATAGTGTGAGCATTTTTAAGAGGAAATATATGTTCAAAGAATTCAACATCTCTAGATTCACACATCAAGCGATTTTCTAAACACATAAATATGTAAGAAGCTGTTAGGAACATTTTGTATTAGATTTTGATGATACTAATCAATAGGAGTTTAGGCCCCCAAATTGTTTTATATTATAGACATAGGATATTTCTGCACAACATTCGAATCAAACTGATTGGTACCTCGAGTGGTAAAAAGGTACACATCTGAATGGAAACGAGAGGACAGTCACAACAAAGATTCGAAGAGTAACTCGAGTGGTTAACTCTCGAATGGGTAAATGACAACTAGTTGAAGATCAACTCGAGTGGTTATCTTTCGAATAGCTCGAGAAGAAGAGTAACCCGAATGGTTATCTCTAGTCCGAGATTGAAGACTGAAGATATCAAGGCCGAAAGGTTGCAAAGACCAAGAGGTGGAAGGGTCTACCTTTTGAGGTATTGCAAGACCGAATCGTAAAGTCAACCATTCGTAACCGAAAGGTCACAAAGGTCAAAGATAGGAAGGACCTACCTTCCGAGGAGTTGAGGGACGAGTGGTAAGGTAAATCATTCGTATAGGAGAAAACCTAAGGCTCGAGACGTTAACCTAGTTAACCACTTGATAAGACTGCTCAAGACATTCTCTGAGCTGTATAGTTCGAAACCTTAAAAAGTTGAGTGAATATGTCCAAGACAATGTGAGTCCTAGGAACATATCACATCTTCAATTTTCCATTAAATGCCCTGACCTTTTGTGCATAACAAAAAGAAATGTTCAACGCAAATTAAGGTTTCAACGGCTGGAAATTTGACACGCTCAACTACCCTCTGGATTACCCGTCGGTCTTTACCCGCTGGTTACTAAGGTGTTTGAAAATAGTTTTCCCTCCAACGGAAATATTTTCCAAAGAGGCTATAAATACCCTCTTCATTAGCCGAGGATGGTGCTGGTCAATTTGAGATTTCGAAGTGCGAAAAATATTCAAGCGCTCTAGTATTCGTGACCAGTGCGATAAAGAAAAAGAAGGACCAAAGCTTAAAAGATCACATCCAAATTTCCAAGAGACTTGAGCAGCTTCAAACTTCGAAGATCTAGATCTAAGAAGTCAGGATCTCTTAGTTGTAGAATAAGAAACTGTATTTCTTCAACTTGTATTCTCTACTCGGTTGTAGTAGAAAGAGGCGGAGTAAACTCGGTTGTGAGTTGAAAAACCTTGTGTGGAGTTGACTGCCAACTTTATGGTCAAGGGGTTAACGTCCGGGATTTGTACTGGAGATAGTGCAACCCTTCACGTGTTGTGAAGAAGAGTGGAGTAGGTTGGTTATAGCCGAACCACTATAAAAATCTTTCTCTCACTCTCTTTATTATTATTGCTTTACATTGCATTAACAACCAAACCTAACATTTGACAAGCAAACCTAATGTGCAAAGAGTTTCATAGAAGGGTTAACTAACCTTTTGTGGATAACAAAAATAAATGTTCAGCGCAAATTAAGATTTCAACGTCTGGAAATCTAACACGCTCAACTACCCTCCAGATTACCCGCTGGTCACTTGTTTGAAAATAGTTTTCGCTCCAACGGAACTATTTTTCAAAGAGCCTATAAATACCCTCTTCCTTTGTGGAAGATGGTGCTGGTCAATTTGAGATTTCTAAGTGGGATAAATATTCAAGCATTCTAGTATTCGTGACCAATGCGATAAAGAGAAAGAGTAACCAAAGCTTAAAAGATCACATCCATATTTCCAAGAGACTTAAGCTGCTTCAAACTTCGAAGATCCAGATCCAAGAAGCCAATATCTCTTAGTTGGAGAATAAAAAAACTTTATTTCTTCAACCTGTATTCTCTACTCGGTTGTAGTATAAAGAGGCGGAGTAAACTCGGTTGTCAGTTGTAAAACCTGGTGTGGAGTTCACTGCCAGCTTTGTGGTCAAGGGGTGAACATCCGGGATTTGTACTGGAGATAGTGAAACCCTTCATGTGTTGTGAAGAAGAGTGGAGTAGGCTGGTTATAGCCGAACCACTATAAAAATCTCTCTCACTTTCTTTATTATTATTATTGCTTTACATTGCATTAACAACCAAACCTAAAATTTCACAAGCAAAGCTAACATGCAAAGAGTTTCATAAAAGGGTTAACTAATAATTTTCTGTTGCATTTACAAACTCTGGCCGAGTAGTTAAAGTTACCTCTCGGGTAGCCTTAACCATTCGTGATCGTTTAAAAAAAAAACTACAAGTCTATTCACCCCCCCCCCCCTCCCCCCAGACTTGTACTTAACCCTCATCGGGACCAACATAAGCGTTGTTTTCAGCATACCCAACAAATATAACATCTAAGGTTTTAGGTCATTAAATTATGTCTTTTGAAAGACTGAAAGCCTACCTTCACCAAACACCCCCACACTTTGAAGTATTTTAGGTTTGGAACACGCCCTTTATACAACTCATAAAGAGTTTTGTCAAAACCTTCATGAGGTACCACGATAAGGATATGATTTGCTGTTAAGTAGCTACTTTTGTTGTATATGCTTTTGGATCAGGAGTTGCATCCAAAATGGTTACCTTGGAACCTGCCTAAGGAAGCTGTGTAGGCGTGGTCTAAACAGGAGTCTGGTACAATGTAAGATTATCAAGGAGCACATAGTCCAATTCCATTGACTCAAAATGCATTTACATTTTGGCTGGCCATCTACAATAGTTATGCCATTCAGAGTTTCGACATTAGAAAGATCGACGCCAGTTTTGTTGGCAGAGATCGACATTGCTTGTGAGGAATTGCTTTTAAATTGTTAGGGAACTAGAACAATGTTGAAGGAAAATTGGAAATGTATTGACAGTATGAAAATATAAAAACAAAGTCTGTGTTGTGTTTTAACAGCACTACCTTAAAAGCGATTTTCGAAGACGGTGCAATTTGATATTTTCGAGACGCTTTCGACAGGTAACACAGATTAACTACGCTAAGCTTGCACCAGCTAAAACGCAAGTGAACTTGTCTACAACACTCTGATGAAAGATACAAAGAGAGGAAGAAGATGAAGGCTAAGTAATGCGTATTGCACTGACGAACATAGAAGAGTGATTATTTATATAGTGTTTGGGCCCAATGACCTTCCTCATTCTAGCCACAAAAACGAACGAGAAAAATGGAAAGTGGGTCTGAATGAATTACGGGCATGCGAACCACAAGAAAAATGGGAAGTGGGTCTGAATGAATTACGGCCATGCGAACCGAGCAAATTAGCGACGGCGATGCGCACGTGGTTCCTCATTCTTTGGTTTAAGACTGCTCTATACCCAAAGTCAAGAATCGAACATCGAACATTTAACTTATGGTTAAGGATGGATGGGTCCCTTCCACTCAACCACACCACCAGCTCGACTTCAAGCGACCTTGAAAGTGTTTTCTATTAGAAAGTGGGAGAAAAGAGATTCCAAAAGTAATGTGGGACAACAAATAAGGAAAAAAGGAGCCTTCTTCTTTGAATGTTTTTTCAACACCTTAGTATCCACAAAGAGCCCATCACAATGGGTGAAACTTCCATATTCTGGTTATCAGGTTTCGATCCTATCCTATGTCATTGCTCACAATCTACAACCCAAAACTCAAGCAAGCATATTACTCCACCTTTGTAGTACCAAGTATGGTGCACCAGAGCCTTGAATTGAATGTTAAATTAGGCGGTGATGGATTGGAAGGACCAATATACACTAGAAAGGTGAAAATCTTGAATCCTAGAGCTATAAAAAGCATTCTTTATGGTATTTATACTGAAACAAGGTCTTACACGTGATTTAAGATTTGAATGTGGCAACTCAATACTACTAGTGCAATTTAGCGATTAGTTAGGGTATAAGGCCTTTAACAAAGTGTGATGGCTATATGCCAACTGACTTTTTGTTACCTTTAGTACATAATTGCATAACATGAGACAAAAAATGCATAACACAAGACACTTATACATGTTTTATATTTACTTTAGTTCAGGTACAAAATCAATATTCTACTTAAGGTATAGAATTGCATAACATAAGACACAAAAACGCATAACACAATATACAAAAAAATGTATAGCACAAAACACAAAAGCGTATGTTATATTTGCTTTATTTTATGTACAGAATCTATACGCTTAAGGTACAGAATTGCATAACATGAGACAGAAACGCATAACAGCAGCCACATACACATGTTTTACAGTACTAAAAAAAACATGTAACGTGAATTGAACAACAAACGGTCGTCGTCAAAATTAAAATTCAAAACTACGTCGTTTAGGACCAGGATCCACGATATAACAATTCAATTGTTATACAGTGAACCACAGTCCACACAACACTGTGTGGACCATGATCGTCGAATGAAACTGTAGTAGAATTAAAATGATACTTTAGTGATTAAAAAAAATGATACTTTAGTATTGCTATAATGAAACTAGTGTGTGTGGAGAATGAAACTAAAAAAACAGAGCACATTATTGTCAAATGAAACTGTAGTATAATTAAAATGATACTTTAGTGTTTGCTATAATGAAACTAGTGTGCATGAAAAATGAAACTAAATTCTAGAGCCATACAATAACATATATAGTCAAATGAACCTGGAGTGTAACTAAAATAACACTTCAGCATATAATTAAACTAGCAATTGTTCTAGTAAAAAAACTAGTATTTGTGGAAAATGAAAAAAAAAAAAAAACAGAACTCATGTAATAATGTATATTGTCAAATGAAAATATAGTAGAATTAAAACGATACTTTGATTGGTATTGCTATAATGAAACTACTGTGTGTAAAAAATAAAACTAAAAAATATAACAATATTGTCAAATAAAACTGAAGTGTAATTTAAATGATACATACTTCATGGTCTATGTTGCTACATAGACCCATGGTACATAGTAAAATTTGCCATTACAATTGAATCTCTTGTGATCTCAACATTATGTTGTTATGGGTCAAGGGCTAAAGGGAATTGGATGGCAAATTATATTGTGGGCCATGACGCACGTGGTAAAGTGAACTGTTAGATATATGTTCATTTATAGCATACATAATATTTATTCTTAAGATATTGAATGTTTATTTTTTTTAGGTAACACTTTAAAAATAAATATTCAATACACTAAAAATGAACTTTTAAAAAAATAAATAAATAATATACTATATTGTATATACTAAAAATAAACATTTATGTTAATATTCCACTTTACAATATAGACTATGGTCTACGATATAATTGTTGGAATTAGAGTATCACCCTTTACCTGTACATGAACGTCATATTTGAACTTGTGATTTATGAAATTTCAAGTTTTCTTTAGTTTTAAAGGCATTTGTTAACCAGGATTATGTGGTCTAATGGTACCCGGGTTGGACTTCCATTTGGAAGGTTGTAAATTCGAGCATTAGTGGAGGCAGATACTACAATGTAATAGAGCTAGTAGCATTCAAAAAAAAAAAAAAAGGCATTTGTTAAAATAAGAGGAATAATGTTGTGTGAAAATAGAAGATGAACTTGCATGCATGTTTATTATATATTGTGTGGAAAAGTGACATAATGTGTTTTTGAGTTGGGAGTTGAATATGTTGAAACGAGTGTGAGCAACTTATAAGAAGTAGATCACTTGCAGCATTAAACAACAAACATGCCATAATATCCTCAGCCCAAGCAAGAAGCAGTACAGAAATGAAGATTTATCAAAACAAAATAAAATTTGGAGAATTCTGAACTCCATGGATCTACAAATAAACTTCTTATGTACAATCAATCATCAATACAGATAACGTACAGATAAACTACTTACAATCTGTGGGCAATAGTAAAGTCCTTGAATGAAGCAAATTAAATAAACTGTCCGGCTTAATTGACTTCAGGAATCTATACTACTATACAATATAAGCTTGTTCCAGTCTGGCATCATTCTCTGTTGCTTCAACATATGTACGCACAAGATCCATTTGTTTTCTGAGCACAAATGTATGCACATCAAACACAATACTGAACCGAATCTTCAAATCAGCTATACAGTAACAACTATGGCACGTTTGGTTCGCGGAATAGGCCTGGAATGGAATAGCATTCCCAGTAATAGGCTTATTCCTTTGTTTGGTAAAAACATCTATTTCCAGGAACATTGTCATATATATACTACTCCTCCAATCCTCCTCGGCACACCTAAAGTCTCCGAGCATGTCATAATTCAATTAAAAGCTTTTACCTATCAATTGGCAGTTTGTATACCCACCCCCATCTTCAGCAACAGCTAGCGTTTGTAGCTATAAACATGCATGCAAGACTACTAGATAGAAGGAAGCAAAGAGAGAGAGAGAGAGAGAGAGAGAGAGTTAATACCATCCAGTTTTCGGCCTAAGAATTCCCATGTCCTCCAAACATCTCCCTTCTGCCACCTATTCCCACTTCTGTCAACAAAGGGATAGTTTTGAAAATCAACGTGTGTGCTGCCTCCATTGCCCGTGTTGACCATTCCTCGTTTCTTCTTCAAAATCATACCGTGAACGCTACAAGTTGGCAGCATCGTCAAAGTACACATCAAATTTTGAAAGATATATAGGATGATGATGAGCAAACTACACTAGTAGTTTCTATAAATATTAAAGGATAATTTGTCAAAGTTAGTTTCTTCTATTTACATTTTGGAATAATTTAAATTTTGACCCAAGGGATTAAAATGAGGTTCAATAGTTAAAGCAAGCAATCCTAACAACTTGTCTATCATAAAAATATCTTTCTACTATGTCTCCAATCACACGTAACAAAATTTTTGCTCAGTAAAAAACATACTCCGTAGTTCTTTTACAGGAATTCTTATCAAAATAGATCTTTTTGATAAGTTTGGGCCATGCCAGGCCAAACAATAATGCACTTAGTTAAAAGGTTTTGAGCGAGCATAGAGTGCAAATCAATCAATCAATCAATCAATCAAACAATACAATACAATACAATACAGAGAAATTTTAAGAGTACCAACACTGAAATGATCGAGAAATTCAAAGTATGGAAAAGAGTAAAAAGTGGAAGATGACTCTATGGAACATTTTGATGGTGAAATATGAAGAGAGTAATTTTCCATTGTATTCCAATGCTCATTCCAGCTTAGCGAAAGGGGTGTAAGTAACATGGTTCTACTTATTGTGGGCATCCAAATCGGAATTTAAAAACAAGAAAAGGAAAAAGAAAGAAAGAAGAGGAATTGCAACGAGTTTTAAGAAAAGCCGCCTTAGTGAAAATAGCCCACTCATACAAATTTTTGAAGGATGGAAATTCTGCATGTAAAACAGCAAGATTCTTAAGCCTATTTTCCCAAAATGTTATTCGAATCCCAAATACCTCTCTGTTGTCTGAAATTTTAATGCATAATCATAATCTTTCATGGCATAAGCAAGTTTGAAGAGGCAAGTGATTGACACAAAAAAAAAAAAAGTATTAAAATTGTTTTACAATTCTAAAATATAAATATCAAATTATAAGTTTACAAAATTGCCTTTAAAAGTACCACCCGAAAAGGACTGAATTTGATATTGTCATAGAAGTCATGGGATTTGGATTGCAATAAGGCAATTTAAAAGTCAAGAATTAATATTGAGGATGAGTTGGGGACTGATACGCATCCAAAAGGATGGATGGTTTACTCACGTAGAAAAAGGAAGGATGCAAATCAGGCAAATCAGGATATACATGGGAAGGCTTAACTCAAGGGTTTTGACAAATAAAGAGAGGCATAATCATCTCAACAATCATCTCAGCAATCATCTCCTTTCTATAATTATTTATTTCCTAGTACTATAAATCAGAATCTCTAGAAGAGAGTAGATCATCCAATAATCTTCCTTAGTCTTTAAGCTTTTAGTAGCTAGGCAAGAGCCTAAAACTCTTGTGGGGCAAGAGCCTAAAACTCTTGTTGGGGGAAGTTTTGTGACTTCCTATTTCTTTTCTTTAGTTTCTAGTCTATCAAAAATACCTCCTGGTTCTTTTCTCTAACAAATTGGTCCGACCTGCCGTTGAATGGCGAACACACATGATTCCCGCATAGAGACGTTAGAGAAGAACCAAGATGCAATCCGTACTGAATTGACTGCATTGACAGATCGATTTGCAGCCGTAGAAGCTTCTGTGGCTAGGATGTCCGACCTCCTCGCTCTCTCCCTCCAAAGCAAAGGGCAGGGCGATGCCAGTGCGTCATCGGTAACAGTCCCAACAATTGATTCCAACCCCTCGTCAGAACGATTGGCTCCTCCCGACAACACCACACTTCCCACGGGAAGATTGGAACTTCCTACATTTGATGGTGGCAACCCGATAGGATGGTTGCCCGGAGTGGAGCAATATTTCGCCATACATCACACCCGGGAAGATCTGAAGGTTCCGACAGCCTTTATTAGTATGCAAGGACCGGCTCTACATTGGCTCCGGTGGATGAAGCGAACGCAACAATTCGTAACTGAATGCCTAGTGTGTCAAAAGAATAAGTATGACACCATGGCACCAGAGGTTTACTCCAACCTCTGGACAGAATTTTTTGACAAATGGGGCACCACGTTGCGTTTGAGCACTGCATACCGCCCTCAAACGGACGGCCAGTCAGAAGTCCTCAATCGATGCCTGGAGCAGTATTTGCGGTGTATGACTTCTGAACAACCAAAGCAATGGGGACGCTTCCTCCATTGGGCTGAATACTGTAGCGTATCTGACTTCAACGGTCAGTTTCCTCACTCCAACCTTGGGGACAAGGTTGTTTCTTTGGTGGGTGGCAATGATACGCATCCAAAAGGATGGATGGTTTACTCACGTAGAAAAAGGAAGGATGCAAATCAGGCAAATCAGGATATACATGGGAAGGCTTAACTCAAGGGTTTTGACAAATAAAGAGAGGCATAATCATCTCAACAATCATCTCAGCAATCATCTCCTTTCTATAATTATTTATTTCCTAGTACTATAAATCAGAATCTCTAGAAGAGAGTAGATCATCCAATAATCTTCCTTAGTCTTTAAGCTTTTAGTAGCTAGGCAAGAGCCTAAAACTCTTGTGGGGCAAGAGCCTAAAACTCTTGTTGGGGGAAGTTTTGTGACTTCCTATTTCTTTTCTTTAGTTTCTAGTCTATCAAAAATACCTCCTGGTTCTTTTCTCTAACAGGGACCAATTAAAAGTGAACTTTTCTCTTTAAAAATGACTACATACAATACAGGTTATTTTAGCAGGAAAGTATAGTCTAATAATGCATTATGTACTAGTTATCATATAAAATAAAATGTTATCCGGTGAGTGAATAAACAAGAGATGGATGGATCGATCTTATTGGGGCGGGGCAACGTTAAAAGAATGAATACCTACCTTTCCAGGATCTGAAAGCAGTGCATAGGCCTCCCCAATCATTTTGAAAAGCCTGTCAGCATTTCTTCGAACCTCTTCTGATATTTGTCTCCCATCATCTGGGTTGTCATTTCTAGGTAGTGATTGCCCAGCCTAGATATTATATAATTGAAAAAACTTTACTGTCAGAAAGTTAATTTCCAGAATCAATGACAATATATAATGTGGCTGCCTGCAGGCAACAATCAAATTCAAAGGCCTCAACCTACCTTGTCAGGGTGATGCTTAAGTGCAGCTTTTCGATAAGCCTTCTTAATTTCTGATTGCGCAGCAGATGGATCAACTCCCCTACAATTACAAAACCGTTACAACAACAAGATGACAGGATTACAAGGGCATAGAACATGTTTAAGCATTTTGATTCTATTGACCCTGAAAACACAAATTTATGTGAGGGAAAAAAACGGAGCATACAGAAAAGAAGTAGGCCTCAAATTAAGATAAGTATTTCAATCTTTTCATTTGTTCGTTCTTGGTAGACAGTACATTATATTATATTATATAAATAATCCAAAAATGCTCAGAAAATGTAACTTACAGAATTAAGTACATATTTAAAGGGATGTTCTTTCTGCTTTCTTCCTCAATTGCAGAAAGCTTCTGCTGAGTTTGCCTGATCTCATTCATGAAACTCGTTTTATCAGACTGGTTAATTTTATTTTCCATTTGCCTCATTAAAAGGGAAATAAGTCTTTGAAGATCTGAAGCTGCTTGTTCATAATCCCTTATCATTTCAAGCAATAAAGCTCGTCTACAAATTACCTGCATGTGTGTATTGGCAATTAATTAAAGGCAGAGAAAGTCCTCTCCAATGCTTTTGGGTGATATTTTTGAGATTTCCCAACTTCATCAATAAAAGTAGCTATAATATATATATATATATATATATATATATATATATATATATATATATAAAGAAAAAAAAAAAAACCTTTTCATAGTTTCTATCAAGGGCTACAGACAGGTTGCAATCTGCAATTGCATCCACAATCTGGCCAATAGCTTGAAATGTAGCAGCACGATGGCAGAAACAAATTGCTGAAAAAGGGCGTGACTCCACACTGCAAGATATTGCAGCAGTGTAATATTCAATAGCCTCTGCATGCTTCCCCGACTGAAATGCTTCATTTCCAGCAGTCTGCAGTTGAGAAGATCTAACATCTTAGAATAGCCTTAAAACATGAGATTAGCAATAGAATTAAATGCAAGAATGATCCCATTCATATTGTCATTGTGCAATTTTAGTCACTTATTTCTTGATGGTAGCAAGAGTAGTCCTTTAAATCATGTAAATTGTGTTAGATTAGCCAAGACCTTGTGGTCTAATGGCACCAGGGTTGGACTCCCAAATGGGAGGTTGTGAGTTCGAGCCTCAGTGGAGGCGTTATTGGCTCTTTTTGCTTCAGTAGGTTGAGAAAGTAGTTATGAACAGATACTACATTGTAATAGAGTCAGTAGCATTCAAAAAAAGTCTGTTAAATATTAACAGATTGTTACATTGAGGAACAAAGAAAATAGATAGGTTAGGATAAACACACCTTGAGGTGTAACAACTCATGTACTGTTGCAGCTAAAGGTATAATAGATTGCAAAGCTGGGGTTCTGCAAAATAAATGGCAGATCGAATAAAAAATATATCAATTAAACAAATGCATTATTTAAATTCAAGTCCGGACGAGTACTTGTGACACATAAAGGACAAGTAAAAATAAAACGAAGCATGATTGTCAATGCCACTGGCTCCAAAATCAAAGGACAATGGTGATCGTGGAAGTATATATAGCAAAAGCATTGAATATAACCTAAATCCCTACACCTTGATAATATTACCCATTTGTGGGAGACCCTGATTTCTCTTGCTTTTTCAAAAAACTATCAGCTTCCTCGAGCTTTCCCAGATGAAAGTAGGATTTGACAGTTACCAAACAACGCCAAAACCTATGTGAATCACTCCTCTGTTTGTTAGAAGCATCCAAGTTTGCTGGCTCAGAATCTGAAGTGGAAGTGTTTAACTCAGCACAAGTAAATGTCTGCTCACATAGCTGAATTGCTTCTTCATACTTCTGCAGCTGTGAATTAGCATTGAAGTAGTTAAGCTAAAAACACAGAAAATGAGAAACGTTTTCGTCGATTACTTGCCTATAAAAATTTAAGTTGTCAAGTCTTATTTCTCAGGAATACAAACCATAAGAAGAGCATCTGCTTTCATTTCAAGTAACTTCTCCGAGTAAGAGCTTATCATCAAAGCATCAGCTAAAACAGCCAAGGCACACTCTGCATCATTGGCTCTTCTTCTTTCTAAGAGCTCTGCAGATTGCTTCATGTAATTTGATAATTTCTGGCACCCAAGGGAAAACAAAATTGAGTTTTCATTTCCTTAGCAATTCAGTTGTGCCAATGAAACATCTACAGAAGGAAATCCTCTCAGCTAAACCATCAAAGCAAAATATTAACTAAGTGAACCAGACACCAATCACCAGGTTATAAAACCAAGCACAAATGATAACAGTGGCTTCTGGCTTGAGGGGGAGTATTGAAAAATAAAGAGTTAGGTTTATCTATAGGTTGTGTCTGTTTATGAATAGGTGTTATTTATGGGTAGTTACTTACAATTATGTGTTTGTATATATATATATATGTACTATGTTTCTTTGTTAGAAAGAAACACATACAGATAATACTAATATATTTCGGTCTTATATACATTTTCTATTCTTTGATTCTTCATCATTGCTTCCGCCTAACTGGCGGGTGGTGTTATTCTCCACCCGCCAGGCCATTCCATCTTCCAAATTCAACAGCTACTTTACCTTGAAGCACCATACAAATAGAAATTCTCAACCTATCTAGTTGTCATGAACAGGGAGGGAACCAAGGCTATCACATACCTGTGCCTTCTCCAAGCCCTCTGAGGCTTCCACCAATAGCTTTCTGTCCACACAGGTGTCACTACCCTCTTGCAAGCACTTCATAAAATACTTGGATGCATTTTCTATTTCTCCTAGGGCGAGGCAACAGCTAAAATGATGACAACAAAAGCAATAAGAACCATAATTTTCATGGAAATATCTGTTTTGGTTAAATGACATACAAAATATTTATCAATGTCAAGAAGCAATACAGCTTTCTAGTCCCTTTAGGCAGATATGAGGACATGAAAAAAATATTTAAATCATAGAACTGGTCCATTTAAGGAAAGCACAGGTGGAAAATACTGATTATTCAGCACTCAATTAGACGCTATAAATGGGACGCTCAGTGATGAAAACTTTAAACAGACAATGACTCTCAATAATCAGGCAGATGCCTCTAAATTGACTAAATATAGTAATAAATGTAAAGGGTATTAAAGTTTTATCCCCCACACATTTTGCAACTTTGTTTAGAATACCAACTCTTCTCACAAGCTAAATTTTATATGGCACTTTAAATACCCTACATTCACTACAAAGAAGCACTGACTGGGAAGGTTGTAGCCTCTGCAAACAACCTCAATGCCACTGGCGTTAATATAGGATTCAATTGAAAGCTATAAAGCTATGAAGGCTGGTAATGACAAATATCTGTATGCTATTGCAGTTTAATCAGCACCTTGGGGTGATGGAGCATATACACACAAAAAAGAGGAACATACCAAATGGCAAGAGATTCATATGCCAAAAGTTGGCAATGAAAAGAATATTATTAACATCATGCATAAAATATTAACAGAAATCAGCATACTTAGCAGCTCGGACTTGGGTCCTATGGAAGTTTGGATCCAGTGCAGTGGCATTCAAACAATCCTCTAGTGCTGCTCTCATTCTCCCCAAAGACATTCGTGTTTCAGCACGGTTGCTATAGCACAGCATCAATGCCCGAAGACAAGTCTTAGATGTATCGGTTTGAGATATAGAATTAACCCCTTGAGTGTAGCAGTCCTCTGCTTTAGATAAATCTCCACTAGCACAGGCTTGATTTCCCCTGTTAAAGAAAAGATTACAACATAATTAGCATAAAAGAAGTATATTACTCAAATAATGATACGCAATCCATAAAAGTTTGTCCATCTTTGGTTCAGGCAATCATCGTGAAAATACACAATAAACTTGCACCTTAATCGCCATCTTTCACATGTTTCATGAGGTGCCATGTTTACATCAGCAGTAGACATAATTCCTAGCTTGACCACTTTTTCCTTAAATGATCCATTCCTGCTCAGGCTTCGGCTTGACAATGCAGGTATATTACCTTGTTGACCCTGACTGGGAGATAAGAAAGAAGATGTTCCACAAACTCGAAAAGATTTCACAGGAGTCCATGAATTTGAAATTTTTGAACTTGAAGTGGAAATACTTGGACCATTTCGTAATTTTGTTTGGCTTTTCTTCTTCTGGTGCCGTGTTACCACCACTGATGGCTGAACTCTTTCAGTAGAAGATGCAGAAAATATGAAGCTGGTCTGGCATGTGTCTTCTAAATTTGTATGAGTGCTCCCATCACTATCTTCCTTCTCAATGGGTGCAATAGAACTCCTTTTATTTTCAGCTGCAGTAACAAGGGACTCAGCACTATAATCTAGATGATGAATAGCAGATCTGAAGTTGTCAGTCTTGGCTCCAGAAAAAGATTCTTCATAAGGTCCCTCAGCAAAAGAACCTTGACTGATAGAGTCCCAAGATTCCACTTGTTCAAGTTCATGATGTTTTATAGGGTTATCATTAATATCCAAGTGTTCTGTTTCACAAGCAAGATGCTGATCTGTGGTACCACTTGAAACCAGCAGATGTGAGTCTGTCAACGAATTACCATTCTGATTGATGACCTCATTAGAAATGCCAGAAGTTACCCTTGTGAGAGTGTTTTCTCTTGGTGTTTCTTGATATGGAGAAATATCCATTACTGGATATGATTCAGAAGAGTCTGCATTCAGTTGCAAGTACTCTTGTCCAAACTTAACTGGATCAGAAATGGCTTTCTTAAGTTTCCCTTTCTTTTTCTTCAATCTGAGATCTTTAGTTGGATTCCTTTTTGTTTCAGGTTTCCTATTGAAACTCCCCTTTAGGGTTGGTGTTGTGAATTCTACTACATGATGCTGCTGCATTATAGCTTTATCTGGTGATTCAGGAACACTTATGGATATGGAAGAAGAGGTGGAGAATGTATTGCTTTGATTGTGAACATGAACCTGAGAGACCTTACTCTCTTTCTTCACAGCCTGAAAACTGAATTGTGAAGGAATTGAACCAGAAAATACACTTGAACAACTCTTGCCATTCGAAATATCGCTACTCTTGGTGTTGGTTTTAATTTTTGTGAGAACGGGTGGCAAATGTTTTGTTGCTTGACCTGAAAGTGAAAGCCTTCTTCCAATGTTCGACTTGCTAACATCATCATCCAATTGCGTTTCAGTGTTTCCATTTCCACCAAAGACAAAGCTACTCTTGTCCTCGCTTGAACCAACACCCACACCCACACCACCGGGTAAATTATTCAGTTCATCCGGTTGATGTTCATTCTCAGAGCTTCTGCTTAAAGAATGTATTCCCCCAAATGCAACACTATCTTTCTTCATATTCAATTTTCTGGTCTCATCCAAGAGTTTAACACCACCAAATGCACACTGCAAATTACTACTACTACTTCCACTTGAAGAATTGCTATCAAATTTTCCCATTTGTACCTCTTTGGTCAACAGCATTTGTGTATCAACCCCCCCAGAATCACCAATTTCTTCTCTACAATCTTTATTGTTCACATTCAAATGCAGTTTCAATCTTCTCATTTCATCACTAGGACTAGGACCTCCTTTATCGTCCTCCATATTTCCATCACTATTTGCTCTGTTCAAATAACTACTTTCAGTGCCATCTTTCTTAGCACCAAACACAAATTCCTTATTCCCATTCCCATTTAATCCTTCCCCCAAAGAACCAGAAATCACCTGACCCCCTGGATTCCACGAGGCATCCCTACCCAAACTGCGGGTGCGATTTGCAGCCGTCATGTACTTCTTCTTGCTCACCCGTGGTTTCGCCGCCCGCGACGAATCCCAACGGGATGCCGCTTTTTGCTCACCCGTGGCCATGGCCGGGGAGTTAAACCCGAAATTAGGATCCATTTACAACCCTGTTATTGAAGAAATCCGAAATTAACAACCGACTACTGGGTTTCGCACGCCGCCTCCGTTCAATCTCATCCACGGAGACGGAATGCTGAGAAATTGAAACCGGATACGGAGTTACGGCTTTTTCTCCATTCAGGAATCAATATCTCGCCCAATTCCTGTTCAACGCAAAATTCGCATCCAACGGAATCATGAAACCGAAAAGGACGTCAGTGTACGGACCATGAAGAATCTGTAGTTTAGCATTCATAGAAAAATATATATATTCTTCACTTTTCACAGTGCCCAACTGCCATAACGGAAGATTGATTAAGACATTTCGGAAGATATATAAGCTCTTTATCATATTTTGTTAGCAGGCATTAGCATCTTGTTTGAATAGTCTCCTCCTCCTACTCCAAAGCATTCTCTTCTTTCTTCTTCCTTTTCCAAATTTTCTATGGTTCACCAATAATTTGATGAAGAGGGGCGTGAATATTAGTTGAAAAATTAATCAACTCTGCACTCACATACAAATGACTAATACATTGGAGAATTATTATTTGTACCCCTACAAGATGCTATGAACACATTTATTCTTTTTTCTATGTGAGAGGTTGAAGCACATGAAAATTTACATGATACATACAAGAAATGTTAGTGCAATAGAAAAATTGACTATTCGTCTTAATGTTTTATGCCAAGCATGCACACAGTGTATAGTAGCTGAAAGATTTCAACATTCAACTGCAACGGTTCATAAATGTGTGAAGAGAACGGTATGAGCGCTTAGATACTTAGGGAATGATATCATAATAGAGGACCTGTTCAACCAGAAATCTTACGGAATTCAAAATAGTATCCTTATTTTGAGGTATTATTATTGTTGTTGTTAAATATTATTACAATCTTTATTGCAAAAATGTATAGGCGTCATTGATGGAATACATGTGGCAGTTGGGCACCAACATCAAAACAAAAGATGTATCGTAGTCAAAAGGGTTCAATGGTGATCCAAAATGTCATGGCCTTTTGTTCACATGACATGATGTTTACTTACGTACACACAGGATGGGAGGGAAGTGATTCCCGCATATTTTTAGATGCAATTACAAAATTTGAATATGAATTTTCTATGCCTTCGCAAGGTATGATATTGTTTTTTGTTTTGTTTTTTTTTTTTTTTTGTTTTTTGTTTTTAATGAAATGAGTAAATTACCTTGTTGAAAACTATAAATAGGTTAGTAATTATGTGCTTAAAATTTATATAGGTTATTACTATGTTGTCGATGCCAGTTATCCAAATATTCCTGGGGTTTTGGCACCTTATCGTGGGGAGAACTATCACTTAAATGAATTCCGTGGACGAGGACGAATACGGAATAAGCAAAGCTCTATTCAACTATCGGCATTCGTCTTTGCGTAATGTCATAGAGAGGTGTTTTGCATTACTAAAAGTGAGATTCCTAATTCTTAAATACATTCATGGTTACCCGTTGCGAAGTCAAGTCCAAATTCCTCTTGCTTGTTGTGCAATGCACAATTTTATACGGATGCATGATGCTATGGATCAATTATTTACCGACTAACTATGAGAGGAAAGGCATGGAAATGCCTAGTAGTAGTGGAAGTAGTGGTGAAAATGAACCTATAAAGTTAAATATGCATCAACAACATGTTATGCATGAGGCCCGAGAAGACATAGCAAATGCTATATGGGGGGATTGTAGTCGATGATGTTCTTATTATGTTACCAAACTATGTAATGATTGAAATAGTTACAATTTTGTTGCAGAAAAATTCGCCGGAAGGTGGCCTGAACCCTAATGACCTGTGATAGCAAGTCATTAACTTATTTTTGGGCTTCATTGCACCTAAATGAATTGTTGATGGGTGTAATTGCACCTTTAAAAAGTTTAGGCGCCTAATTGACTTTTAAGCTAAAGTTCGAGGGCTTATTTGACCCTTTTCCCTATATACTTTTATTAACTTTCGTTAGTTTTATACATTTAGTATTAATTTATTGATTTTTTTTATTAAATTATTGAATTTGCAAATGAAATTAAAAAATTGGAGAAATGAAAAATTGGAGAAATGGAGAATGAAAAATGAAAATTTGAAAAAGGAAAAACAAAGAAATGATTTAAACGACATCATTATGTGTAGGTTAAGTTACATAATATGAACCAAACATAGAAATCAATATTTCTCAAGTTCAAGCTCTTACCTTTTTATTAATTTTTTTTCCAGGTTAACCCATTAGTTAATTATTTTTGTAATAGAGTCAATAGTATTAAAAAAATAAAAAATAAAAATTGAACCATTTACTTCTATATTTCACATTTTCCCTATTTATTTATTTTAATTTTGAAATTTCTGAAATTCATAAAAATAAGTTAAGAATTTTAAAGTAAAATAACCATTATAACATAAAAATAACTCTTTAACGAAACATGTTTATATTGCATACATCAGTTTTAAGTTTTAACCAAACACAAAAATATAACATTCATAGTAATCAAACATTTCAGCCGTCTAACATTCTTTAAGGTAATCTAACATTTTGTGAACCAAGTGCCCCTTTGATGATTACGTATAAAATAATGTATAATGGCATAAGTATCTTGTGCTATTTTTTTATTTTTATTTTAGTATTTTGTATTTATTTTTAAATTTGATTTTTTTTTTTTTGTGTTTAATAGTGCTTTTAATATAGTTTTTAAATATATAAATTTTGTATATTAATACTAAACTTAATATTATGAAAGTTGAATTAAAAATAATTTCAGTCAAATCTCTTTAATTGAATCATATACATAAAATAGGATGGAAGAAGTATGTTATTTGAACACTTCTGTTGTAGGTCTGTGGATTGATTAACTCTATCAATTGTACATTTGATGGCTAGACTTGACGATTTATTTGAGTCTTATTGTTGCCTTTATAAATTATTCTAAAAATAAAAAATCACACTTCGATATGAGAGTATTTATTTTCTTAAATACTTAACATCATAAAAAAATCTATAAAACATATTTGTAGTGTTTCTTTTTCGCCAAATTTACAAGCAGACATTCATACACCTATCTTTTTTCTAATGTCAGCATTTGATCGTGTTTAGGTTCATTTCTTTTTCTTTTAAACGCTAAAGTTTTTAAAATTATTATTACAACCTCTCAAGTGAATATAAGAAATAAAAAAAAAGTTTATTTTTTAAAAATACTTTTGAGAATTTAAAAAAAAAGTTAATTACTGAAATGGTCTCTTGACTATGGTTAAATTATCAATTTAGTCTTTGACTATATTTTTTTGGACCAATTATGTCCTATTACTTTAAAAATCTTAAACAATTTGGTCATCCGTTTGTTTTGCCGTTAGACATCCGTTAACTCTGGACCAAATTGGTAATTTCACTATAGTCAAATGACCATTTTAGTAATTAATTTTTCGGAGAAAATGGTGCATGTAATGATCGAAATAGTCCATTGACTATAACAAAATTACCAATTTGGTCCCGAGTTAATGGATGTCTAACGGCAAAACAATCGAAAGATCAAATTAGTTAAGATTTTTAAAGTTGAGGGACTTAATTGGTCAAAAAATAATAATCAAAAACGAAATCAGTAATTTCGCTATAGCGCTATGGTCAAGAAACAATTTCCGTAATTAACTCTTTAAGAAATTAAAAACCTTTGTGCGTGTTTTCTTTTTGTGATACTTGTATGATGTGTTCCCTGTCCATACACCTGCCCATGCATTCTGATGGTTTAAATGTATATCTGAGGACATTGGACAATGAACATCTATCATGTGGAGTTAAGTATAAAGTTGTATCCTGTAGACAATGAACATGATTGTTAGGAATCCTTAGGAGCGTTGACGGCTAACGCGCCAACCATCTAACGCGCGAAAAATAACTTTTTTTTTTTTGAAAAGAGCTGGTTAAGGCATATATTAGAGAAAAGTTGTAATAGCGTCAGGAGGATTATTAGACTCCCAATACATAGTAGAAGACTGAGTAAAAGCCAAAGCAGCTAAAGTATGAGTTATCAAATTAGACAATCTAAGAATATAACTGACTTCACAATAATCAAATAACGAAATAATAGATGCATTGTCTATGGCAAAGCCGACGTAGGATCGAACTGACCCCACAGGTGAGGATAAGCAATGTTGTAGACTCGAGCAATCCGTTAGCAACTCGATCGAAGATTCCCCACGGCCCCTTAACCAAGAAAGCACCTCCTTGCATGCAAAAGCCTCGACCATAAGTGGTGAAAAACATGGTGGTAATTGTTGAGCATATAGCCATTAATGTGCAATCCAACTATGAGCTTAGGCTTTTAGTTGAGATGGAGCACATGCTGTGTAATCTAACTATGAGCTTAAACTTTTAGTTGAGATGGAGCATATGCTTCAATTGTAATAACTAAAGGCCGCAACATAATCTCCATTAGCATAAAATAATATCGCACTCACTGAAGCTTTGTTGGATGGCAAGTGGAGTCTAGCGTCGAAGCGGCACGATCGCCGTTGTGCCGCACTTCCGGAGACAACCAGCTGCGGCACAACAGCATCCTCGGCATGCAACGGCGCATCAGTGGGTGCTGAACCAGCGGTCAGGTAGGCATGCATCCCAAATAGCACCATTCCTAGCCTTGCATCCCAAATAGCACCATTCCTAGCCTTCCAAATATAATATAGAATAGCAGTGGTGAGGAATAACTGATTAAGGTCTAGAATACTCAACACTTCTTTAAACCAAGTATAAAAAACATTTGTGACATTAGTAGGGATTGGAAGGTGGGATTCTCTCCAAATGGCCTTTGCATAATCACACACCACTAATGAGTGCATAGTGTCTTCACATGTGATGCCACACATGGCACATAAAGGATCAACTTCCACTCTCTTTATAAGCAAGTTCTTGGTCGTGGGGAGGATATCTCTCAAAGTCCTCCATAAACCGGTACCGGTTGTGCAGGTAAATTAAGTAAACTAGTCTGGAGAAAAAAAGAAAGTGGTGTGCAGGCAACCAACCCAGGTTGAAAGATAGGGTACGTCAAGTTGAGACGTTAAAAGAAGCGCTGCTTGGGAGGCAACCCAAGGTTTTATTTACATTGCGTATTTTAATTTTGAGCATTTAATTTTTTAATAAAGTTGTTTGTTTTTTAGAACTAACAATACAGGGATCGCAAGCCTATTCCGAGAAGAATTCGAGACAAAATTTGGACACGAAGGTCGAACTGAAGAAAACCCGTGGCCACGCGTAAAACAAGGCGCGAAAGGGGATTTAATACCCAGTGCCGTTTTTTAGTTTTTTGTGGCCCTGTGCTCCTAAATAAATGAGGCCCTACGGTCTCTATCAAAAGTATAAGCGCAATATTTAAAATCAATATCGTTAAATATATGATTTTTATTTATATATGATTTTCAATATAAAGAAGAAAAATTCAAACAACTTTATTTATTATAAATAAAATTCTAACATAATGCAAATTAGAGATCTTTTATTTAAAAACAGATGTTCTTCTAGCATTCTTTGATGCAAATTCATCAATCAACTCTTCATAATCTACTTTATCCAAAAGATCATTTTCAATAGATATCATTGCTAATCCGTTAAGCCGTTCTTGTGACATTGTAGAGCGTAAGTAGGACTTCAACAATTTCAACTTGGAAAAACTTCTTTCTGCAGATGCAACAGTAACAGGAATAGTTAATAAAATTCTGTATGCAATAACTGCATTAGGATAACAATCAAACAATTCCAAATCTTTCAAAATTTCAATGGGTCCTAGTTTTTCATTAACATACAACTCTCTTCTTAGTTTTAACTCCACATACAACTCATCTCCATTAATATCCGAATGTCCATTATGCTTAAGAGAATTTTCAAGACGACTACAGGAAGACTTCAAACTCATATCATCTAAAGAACTTAACCTGTCAGAATTAAACAAGAAACCAAATATTTTCTCATACTCTTGAAATTGCTCAAACCTACTTTTAAGAGAAACAACAGCTTGATCAACAATGAAAAAATAATAATTAACTCTAAATGAATCTTCTGCAGATAATGAAACTTCTAATGATGCATTTGAATTTTCATCGAATTGTTTTTTTCTACGGATTTCACGTCTCTTAGGAAAAACGGGGTCTATATCCATTTTAATAGCAATTTCCTTAGCAGAATCCAAGGCATCATTAAAACCACTTTCTCTATATTTCTCAAAAAAAGAAATCAATTCCTCAATTTTTTCGAAAGCAACATCAATAAGCATGTCTTTGGATTGCAAGTACTTGCTAACAAAATTAATACGATACAATATATGAAACCATATTACTATAGCCACCAAAAATTCAAAATCACCAAGTTCATTTGTTGCTAGAGATTTAGCTTCACTTCTTACTAAGGAATCACTATCAACATCTGCAACTTGGAGTAAAGCCTCTCGTATTTCTACCATTTGAAATCTTATGGCTTGAACACTCTCAACACGACTCTCCCAACGAGTGGAAGATAATGACTTAAGAGTTAAACCATGTACATTATCTTTCAAAATACCCCATCTCTTGGTAGATTTTGCAAAAATTGTATATATACGTTGTATGACTCCAAAAAAATCTTTTGCTTTACTACAAGCATTTGCCATATCACATAAAACTAAATTAAGACTATGACAACCACATGGAGTATAAAAAGCTCTAGGATTTTCATCTAAAAGTCTTTTTTGCACACCTTGATGTTTACCCTTCATATTTGACCCATTATCATAACCTTGTCCACGTATATCAAAAATATTAAGATTAAGAAGATGCAATTCATTTTGCAAAGTACTAAAAAGACCTAGTCCAGTTGAATCATTCACATTCAAAAATCCTAAAAAAGACTCCTCAATATTAACTTGATGTGTAGAGACATCAACATATCTTATTATTAATGACATTTGTTCATTGTGGCTAATATCAGGAGTACAATCAAGTATTACAGAAAAGTATTTTGCTTGCTTTATTTTTTTTAATATTTCAGATTTCATCGAGGAAGCAAGCAAAGATATTAATTCATTTTGAATGCTATGACCAAGATAATGAAAGTAAATTTCTTCATTTTTAATACGCCTAACATGTTCTTGGATAATAGGGTCAAATTCGGCCACCATCTCAACTAAGCCTAAAAAATTTCCATTGCCATTTTGATACAATTTTTCATTAGTACCCCGAAAGGCTAAATTACGTTTGCCAAGAAACTTAACAAAAGAAATAATTCTTAACAAAACTCTTTTCCAATGATCTTTCTCCTTTTTAATTAATCCTTGAGCAACTTTGTCAATGGTTTGATTTTTCTTAAACCTTTGACGCAAATCATACCAAGTCGTCATATTTTTAATATGCTCCATACATGTCTCATGTTCTCTAAGTCTTTCACCAATATGAGCCCAATCATTGAAACCTTCATTTGTTAATTGACCTCTACCAATACCATTTTTAAAGATTTTGCAACAAAAACAAAAAACTCTATCAAGCTCTTTTGAGTAAACTAACCATTCTCTATCACATTTTTCGCCATTTGATAAAACCCTAGTATACAAATTTGCATTAAATTGCCTAGAAAACTTATCTTTAGGACCTTTTACAATAGAATTATCTCTCTTAGGACCATTGATTACTAATAAATCAATCATTTTCGAATCAAGTCCATCCCAATTTCTTGGATCAAAAATATCACAATTGTTAGTTTCATATAAAGCATCTGCATCATCATCATTGTTGGGTGAATTATTCATTTTTTCATTCTCTACTTGATCAATATTTTCAATATTAATATGCACATTGTTACCATTTTCAACATTAGTATCATGATTATCCACATTGTTTTCATTATCAACATCAACACCAACATTTGGATTTTCAGAAAAAATTTGTGGTGTTTTAATTATAAACTTATCTAATGCTCCTCTTTGTAATTGTTGTAACTCTTCATTTTTTTTTTGTTTCTTACGTTTTTCATAACCAGATTCATATTTCCTAATGCCGGGAGCCATAATATGCAATTCACAGATTCAGCAATTGAAATCAAAGTTATCAAACAACAATATTCTAACAAAGAGGCAAGGAGCAATCACATTACACATATAACATATAAAATTAAAAATTAAAAATTTAAAGTTAAAAAGGATTGAAACAACCTGATTGAAAAGTCCTTATTTTTTGTTTATTGTCTTGGTCGGTTACTGCCTTACTGCCGTCACGCCGACCAGCACAGCAGCACTCCCGCCTCTCCCCGTCTCCCGGTAACAAGCCAACACCGAGTACACCGCCACAGAATCTATAATATCTACAACAAGACTTGCAAAAAGTGCCAAAATGCATAATAAATTTGATTAAAACAATTTTTCAAAAAAAAAAATGATTAAAACAATTTTTCAAAAAAAAAATTGATTAAAACAAAACGCAGAATAAATTTATTATGATTGCTGAGTTGCTTACCAGTGAGTCAGTGACCAGAAGGGGCAGAACCGCATAAGGAAGAAGGCAAGAAGCCAGAACTCCAGAGTCCAGAGTCCAGAAAAGCGCAGAATCCAATAAGTCCAGAGTCCAGAGTTCGTATTGCCTTGCCGGCGTGATAACTATTAACTAATAATGATATATATGATTTAAAAACAAAGATGCAAATAAGGAGGAAACGCCCAGGTTTAAGATTGAAGACTTCACCGCTTCCAGTCTTCCCGATTTCGTATTTCCGTGAATCCGTGCAGAATCGTCGAAGAAGACTAGAAGAATAAGAAGAGTAGAAGACTAAGATGAAATTCGTGGAGTGTGCAGCCTTTGCCGGAAACGCAGAAGTGTGGACGTCGAAGAAGACTAGAAGAGTAGAAGACTAAGATGAATTGAACTCTGAATCTCTGAACTTATTCCTCTCAATCCTCTACGGCCCTGCCAATCATGAATCGGCAAAGAAGACAAAGAAACATCGGGAAACAACATTATTGATTACTCAATTAATTCTTTCATAAATTTTAATTAACGTTGGAGAAAACTGATCGGTTTAATTGTAAAAAAAAAAAAAAATTTTGTTTAATTAACGGAGAAAACTGATCAGTTATTCCTCAGAATTTTTTTTTTAATTTGTGAGGTATATTAGGTATACTACTATACTGGGCCTCTAAAATTTGGGGGCCCTCTAAAACTGGGGGCCCTGTGCGGTAGCCCAGCTTGCACAGCCCCAAATCCGGCCCTGTTAATACCCCATTCACGCGCCTGGTCACGCCGTGACCACGTCGTGAATAGGGCCTAGAGGCGGAGCGTCAATAGGCCATTCAGGCCCACTGTTACGCCATGATAGTGGCGTGAATGGGAGTGCGAAAATGTCAAAACCCTAGTGTAAGGTTCGATTCTTCCCTTGGCTAATGTCTTCACTCTATCATCTTGTGATTTGCCCCCTATTCTCTTAAAAACCAGAATCCTTTCTTGCAAAAATAAAATCTTCTACTCATATTTTTCCTCTATTTTGTGAGCAATACTTCAAGGAAACTCTAGCAAGACCGTAAAGGTAACATCTTCTTTCCTTCTTGTTATCATTTCTCCTTTAGTTTCCTTATTTCAAAGTATGGTATGAAAGATTGCATCTTTAAGATATGCTTGCATCTATAAGTGCTAGAACACTCTTACTATTCTTTGATAAACACTTGGATTGATAAAGTTTGTATCTTTTGCCATTTGCATTGCTTGAAACCTTTATGAAAAGCTTTTCTACGCTAGTATATATGCTATGCAATTTGGGTTTGCTTGAATTTGTATTGAATGATAAAATTGTTTATTGAAGTATGCAATAGGATGATAAATGGGTGCTTACAGGATTTTTATTTGATTTTTGGACATCCGTTTTGCGTAGTTCTAAATTCAAGTACGCATGAATGTAGGATATGTCGTCCATTTGTTTAGAAATAATTTGCCTATGATTCTTGTGTCAAAACCCATGATTATTAAAAACTTTGTCATATGTGGGTTGTCAAACGATGTGTGGTAGATTTATAAAGTGTGGAAATCTAAAAGATGAAAAATGCTTATTTGCTAGAACTTGCTTACAAAATTTAACCGCTATTTTTTCTAACCATTATAGGTCTAACTCTCTTAGGCTCATATTAGTATATATATATATATATATATATATATATATATAGGGAAGGGTTCATGTGCGGGTATAGCTTCCCGTGCGGTTAGATCTGAACCGTTGATCAAATCTAGATCAACGGTTCAAATCAATGAAAATTAAAAAAAAAAAAAACGCGTGTTTGGAAGAAAGCCACGCACCTTAAGTGTTAGATCTTAAGCACAAACTCACGCACATTAGGTACAAAACCCACACACATTAAGCACAATCTCACGCACATTAAGCGCAAAACCCACGCACTTTAAGTATTAACTCACAGACCTTAAGTTTCAACAACTACTGACATTAAACACAAACTCACGCACATTAAGTACAAAACCCACACACATTAAGCAAAATCTCACGCACATTAAGCACAAAACTCACGCACTTTAAGTATTAACTCACAGACTTTAAGTTTCAACAATTACTGACATTAATCACTAACCTCACACACATTAAGCACAAACCCTACGCAAATTAAGCACAAACTCCACTCACATTAAGAACAAATCTCACGCACCTTAAACACAAAAGCCCACACTTTAAGTTTTATCAACTACTCACATTAAACACAACCCCACGCACATTAAACACAAAACTCACGCACCTTATGCACAAGACTCATGCATCTTATATACAAAACTCACGCACATTAATCACAGAACCGCTCACATTAATTTTGACCTAAATGCAAAAATAAAAAATTGCCACCACGTATTTTTTTTAAAAAAAATTTTGGTAATCTTGGACGTTGATTTAAGCGAGATGAATGGCTCAGATTAAATCGCACAACCGCACCTGAGCACCCTAACCGCACCAGAATCTAATTCTATATATATATATATATATATATATATATATATATATATATATATATATATATATATATATATATATACACACACACACACTAATATAAGAGCTCAAGAGAGTTAGGCCTATAATGGGTAGAAAAAATGGCGGTCAAATTTTTTAATCAAATGAATGGCTAAAATTGATCAGATTTTAATTTTTTCTTAAGATTTCCTAATTTATCCTTAATGAATATGATTATCTGTTAACTTTTCCTTTAAATATTATCTTTTCTATTAATTTATGTTAGTTCACCGTTAACTTACTCATTGATTTCAATAAGAAAGATCTTAGGTTCGAACCTCATCCCAATCAAAGTTGACATAATTAGTACTCTATTTTACTCTTATTAAATTAATATTAAAAATAATAATTTAGTAGCTACAAAAAAAAAAAAATTGATATGCATTTCTTTAATTTAGAATTATGTACCAGGACTATGTGGTCCAATGGTACCCGGGTTGGACTTCCATTTGGAAGATTGTGAGTTCGAGCCTCTGTGGAGGCGTTATTAGCTCTTTGTGTTTCAGTAGGTTGAGAAAGTATATGAACAGATACTACATTGTAATAGAGCGAGTAGCATTCAAAAAAAAAAAAATTTAGAATTATGTGTCTACAATGTCTTTATTCAAAAAAAATTATTCATTATCAATAAATTAAATAAGAGATCAGAAATAATTTCATTAGTTATATTGTATTTATTTTTCTCCAATAAAAAAATTCTTTACATTCAAATTCATAAATTGATTATATTCGCTACATTGTCCCTACAATGTCTTTTTTTTAAAAAAAATATTCATTATCAATAAATTAATTAAGAGAAATAATTTTATTAATTATATTGTCTTTATATTTCTCTAATGTAAAAATTCTTTACATTCAAATTCATCAATGGATTATATTCACTACATTGTCTATTATCTTTTTTTTTGTGCACTATTTTTTAATTAAATATCAAAGTTATAATACAAAATAATGCTATATATTTATTTACCAAGTATTTTATTCATACCATGAAAAAATTAAAAAAAAAATGTAATTAATAAAGCCAATCATATTAACTACTTGAGAGATTTGTTGACAAAGTATTCAAATCACACAACAAATTGAAGTGAGAACTACCTCGCAATGTCCTTGTTTGACAATTAGCAGTTAGCCTTATCGGATTATATTAGCGAATTTGACCAGCGAATTATATCAACGGTTAGTAAAAATATATTTGAAAAAATTAGATGTTTAGATTAACATATAAAATGACCTAACGTTATATAATAATAATAATAATAATAATAATAATAATAATAATAATCCTTTATCCTTTATATAATAAAGCTATATGGTTTGAGAAATAATTAATGTTACAATTAATGCCACAACATCCTTCATTATATATATATATATATATATATATATATATATATATATATATATATATATAAAAGCACAACATTTAAAAAATAAAATAGTTATATATTATATAATCATATAAAAAATATACTTTTAAACAATAAAATAGCTATATATTATATAATCATATAAAAATGTGTTCAATTAGAGTTTAAATTTACACATACAAAATTTAAAATTTGCTTTTCAAATTAATTATCTTAGTTATTATTCGTATTGTGAAAATTATAATATAAATGAAATACAATTAAGAATAAATCAATGTAATTATGTAAATTCTCTCTATAAGTTTATTTGAATATGCACATAATTAGAGATTATAATAACCATACAAAATTATAATTTTAATTGTAATTTTGTATTCTATAAAAATAATAAATACTTGACCAATGGAAGCTTAAAAATATTATTATATTAAATAATTTAAAATATTTTAGTTTTTTATTTTTTATTTATATTTATAATAACATAATTTTTTTCCGTGCATCGCGCGGGTGAATAATAATAATAATAATAATAATAATAATAATAATAATAATAATAATAATAATAATAATAATAATAATTTTTTTTTATAAATAATAATAATTAAGCCAATCATATTAACTACTTGGGGGATTTATTGACAAAAAGAGTATTCAAATCACACAACAAATTGAAGTGGGAAACTATATCGCAATGTCATTGTTTGGCAATCAGCAGTTAGCTCTTCAATATTAGTATATATTTAATATTTTATGCCCTAATTTTTATTTGCTCTCCCTTATGTCCCGTATTTGGCTTCAACTATACCTATACAATTATTTTATTGACAATTATAATCAATCTTGACTATATTATCTTGCATTTGTAAACTTAGAATTGCCTATTTAAATAGGTAAATTTAACATTCAATTATCTATGCATGAACAATTCCAATATAATCTTGCCTTGATATACTTTAAAATACTTATTTAAAAAAATTAATATTGGGCATTATTTCAACCGTGCAATGCGCGTAAAAATCCTTTATATAATAAAGCTATATGGTTTGAGAAATAATTAATGTTACAATTAATGCCACAACATCCTTTATATATATATATATATATATATATATATATATATATATATATATATATATATATATATATATATATATATATATATATATATATATGCACAACATTTAAAAAATAAAATAGTTATATATTATATAATCATATAAAAAATATACTTTTAAAATATAAAATAGCTATATATTATATAATCATATAAAAATATGTTCAATTAGAGTTTAAATTTACACATACAAAATTTAAAATTTGCTTTTCAAATGTAATTATCTTAGTTATTATTCGTATTGTGAAAATTATAATATAAATGAAATACAATTAAGAATAAATCAATGTAATTATGTAAATTCTCTCTATAAGTTTATTTGAATATGCACATAATTAGAGATTATAATAATCATACAAAATTATAATTTTAATTGTAATTTTGTATTCTATAAAAATAATAAATACTTGACCAATGGAAGCTTAAAAATATTATTATATTAAATAATTTAAAATATTTTAGTTTTCTATTTTTTATTTATATTTATAATAACATAATTTTTTTTCGTGCATCGCGCGAGTGAATAATAATAATAATAATAATAATAATAATAATAATAATAATAATAATAATAATAATAATAATAATAATAATAATAATAATAATAATTGTTTTTTTATAAATAATAATAATTAAGCCAATCATATTAACTACTTGGGGGATTTATTGACAAAAAGAGTATTCAAATCACACAACAAATTGAAGTGAGAAACTATCTCGCAATGTCATTGTTTGGCAATCAGCAGTTAGCTCTTCAATATTAGTATATATTTAATATTTTATGCCCTAATTTTTATTTGCTCTCCCTTATGTCCCGTATTTGGCTTCAACTATACCTATACAATTATTTTATTGACAATTATAATCAATCTTGACTATATGATCTATGCATGAACAATTCCAATATAATCTTGCCTTGACATTCAATTATCTATGCATGAACAATTCCAATATAATCTTGCCTTGATATACTTTAAAGTATTTATTTTAAAAAAATAATATTGGGCATTATCTCAATCGTGCAATGCGCGTAAAAACTAGTATTAGGATAAGTGCAATCATACTATTTTTATAAGTTTGGATAAAATACTTAATTTAATGGATAGTGAAATTTTATGAACATATTAGGTTTCATACCGCCTATAAAAGCAGCATCAAATTGGTTCTTCCAAGCACCAATGCAACTTGATTGAGTCATGGCAACCCATTGCTTCTTTGCAGCTATTCTCCTCTTTGTCACCCTTCAAACAACAGGTTGTTTGCATTTGTAATAGTATATATTAGACTTCAATTCCTTTATTTTAATTATTTAATTTTCTATTTCAGAAAATAAGTTTATTAATGCTCATTTGTCTTTTTCTTCCCAATAAAAAAATTCTAATTAATAAACGTACCAGTATTGTTTAGATAAACAAATATGTAAATTTTAGTAGGTTTTTTCTTTTTTAAAAAAAGAGAGATTTTTGGGTAACTTGTAGAAGCTTGATTGGTAAATTATTCAAGCAGCTAGCTCAGTTTGTGGGCAAGAACATGATCGAGCATGAATAATTGTAGTGTGAGAGTTATACGTACTCACTAGTAGGCTTCTTATGGACATTAATTAGAAAGTAATTCTGTCACATCCTTTTACTTAATGAGTCATTAAATCATTCTGATTTATCATATACTATTTTGTGGAGTCCCCGAAAAATGTACGTATTATTAAAAAAAAAATTTCTTTTTCGTTATATTATTAAAAAAAAAAAAAGATTTTTGGAAACTTGTAGAAGCTTGATTAGTAAATTATTCAAGCAGCTAGCTCAGTTTGTGGGCAAAAACATGATCGAGCATGAATAATTGTAGTGTGAGAGTTATACGTACTCACTAGTAGGCTTCTTATGGACATTAATTAGAAAGTAATTCTGTCACATCATTTTACTTAATGAGTCATTAAATCATTCTGATTTATCATATACTATTTTGTGGAGTCCCCGAAAAATGTACGTATTATTAAAAAAAAAAAAAATTCTTTTTCGTTATATTATTAAAAAAAAAAAGATTTTTGGAAACTTGTAGAAGCTTGATTAGTAAATTATTCAAGCGGCTAGCTCAGTTTGTGGGCAAAAACATGATCGAGCATGAATAATTGTAGTGTGAGGGTTATATGTATTCTAGTAGGCTTCTTATGGACATTAGAAATTAATTCTGTCACATCCTACTACTTAATGAGGTTGAATCATCCTGATTTATCATATACTATTTGGTGGAGTCCGGAGAAAAATGTACGTATTATTGCTAGAGTTTGCTGTAATCATTAATTAATTAGGAGTAATTGATTTGGATTTTGATGTTTATATATCTACTATATATGCAGTGGCAGAATCGGTTGGTGTTTGTTATGGGAGGAATGGAAATGATTTGCCATCGGAACCACAAGTGATTAACCTGTACAAGCAAAATGGGATCAGCAGCATGCGAGTTTTCGACCCCGTCCCGCCGGTTCTCGATGCTCTCCGGGGATCCCAAATCCAAGTCATTCTCTGCATCCCTAATCCCACCCTGCAATCGCTCACCGATCCCGCCGCCGCCGACCAATGGGTCCAAACCTTCGTCAAGAACTACTATCCGGATGTGAAATTCAAGTACCTAGCTGTAGGGAACGAGGTTTTGCCTAACACCCCCTCCGGTGAGTTCGCCGCTTTCGTTCTCCCGGTGATGCAGAATGTGTACAATTCCTTGGCGGCTTCCGGGTTGCAGGAAGAGATCAAGGTCTCCACGGCGACGTTCTCCGCGATTCTGGCTAACACCTACCCGCCGGCGGAGAGCGTGTTCCGCGACGACGCCAGGGAGTTCGCCGTCCCGATAGTGCAGTTCCTGGCGGAGAAGAAATGCCCTCTACTGGCCAATATTTACCCGTATTTCGCCCACATCGGCGACCCGGATAACGTTCCCCTCGCGTCCGCGCTGTTCGAGAACTCCGCCCCCAACGACGCCGGATACACCAACCTGTTCGACGCAATGCTCGACGGGTTTTACGCTGCCGCCGCTAAGGTAGAGGCGCCTAACATCGACGTTGTTGTTTCCGAGACCGGCTGGCCTTCTTCCGGCGGCGGTGATGCCGCGACCGCTAAAAATGCTGAGGTTTATTACAGGAACATGATTAGCCATGTGAAGAGTGGGGCTGGAACGCCATTGAAGCCTGGAAAATCAATGGAGGTTTACCTGTTCGCCATGTTCGATGAAAACCTGAAAATTGGGGATGAAACTGAGAAGCATTTCGGCCTTTTCTCCCCCGATCAAAAGCCAAAGTATCAAATTTCTTTACAATAATTCTTCGCCGCTCCTAGCTCCATAATATACTCCGGAGTAATAATAATGTATCATTTTTATGAATAAGGATGGATCGACAAACTTAACTGTAGAATTGTTGTATTTATTAAGTGGAATAATAAGTTTGAATTCCAAACAAGTATTTGGGCTAATGTAGATGAATTGAGATTCTATCTCTTGATTTCTCTGATCTCATTCATTAGTCTCATCAGTTAATTGAACGCACATTTGAAAACTGCAAAATATACCATGAACTAAGGTTTAATTTGGCACCCAGTTCAAAACAACATTCAAATTATGACCATGTTTGGTAAATGGTTTTTAGCTGTTAGCTGATTGATTAATTATAGGCCCAGTTCAAAACAACATTCAAAATACACTGCCGCTGGTGAGACTCGATCCCTGTTTGAGCACATACATCATATAAGGTTAGGTTGAGATGAAAATTCCTAATGTTTTTACAAAATTGATTGATTGATTAGATTTATTAATCAAATTAAAGGAATAAACACTCATATAGTCTCTATAATATATGATAAATTGCAGACTAATATAAATATAATTCAGAAAGTAATTTAATCTATATTTAATTTAATTATATTGTTTAATTACCCTTAAAATTCAAGTTTGATCATTAATTTACACTCAAATTAGCTTATACTTAATGATAGTTGCGGAAATTGGTATTGAGGATTCTTGTGCAAGCACCACCAAAAGCATGTGGTACGGTGGAAGTTGAAAGTTTGGCGATAATGAAGGGAAGCGAATGGAATGTGCTTAAAATAAGGGATTCAGAAGTGATTCTAAGGAAGTTATGAAGGAGGTGAGGGAAGAATTATAAATGTAGTTAGTGGGGCCAGCTGCCGAACTGCGGAAAAGAATATAGTGTAAAAGTTGGATGAGCAAGGGATGACCTGGGATAGTTAAGCACGTGTAGTATCGAGAACAAAATTGTGTAACTGATTATTTGGCAAATATTGCTGCACAACAAAATGTTTGTTGATGTGAACTTTCTGAGCCTCCATACCCTAGTGTTTGGTTGGAAGGAAAGATTCAAGGGTCAAATAGGTCATCGAAGAGAAGTTCAGATGGAGATAGCAGTGGATTCGCTCCTTGAGATTCCTTCGATGGCGGCTACCCATCGGTCACCGGAAGACCAAGATCTACTAGAGAGAAGCACTAAGAAATCTAAGAGGGGCCGTGACGCGATGCTTTCATCGGTGAAGCAACCATCAGAGGGTTTAGCCAAGGAAACCCCCATCGGCGCAGGGGTGTCTACTCTGGACTCCAACTAATGGAAAACCCCAGACGCCACACCTCACCAAGCGCGGTCGCGCAGGGAAACTTCCCTACCTTTGGTTGAGGATGAGGATTCGGATGACGATATGATGGATGAGGAAACGGCAAAGTCTGAGTACCCGGTTATCTTGGTAACAAAAGAAGAGAAGAAAAGACTACGGCGTCCTTGGCGAAGGTCTTTGGTTATTAAGCTTTTGGGGAGAATTATCAGCTACTCTTATCTCCTTCAAAGATTGGAACACATGTGCAAGACATAGGCCCCTTTCGAACTAATAGCCTTGGATCAAAATTATTTCCTGGCCAAATTTGAATCGTTCAGAGACTACGAGTATGCGAAATTTGAGGGTCCTTGGTTGGTGTTAGGCCATTATCTTGTTGTTCAAGAATGGGTGCCCAATTTTGACCCCCTGAACAACAAAACCAAGAAGCTTCTTGTATGGATTCGGTTTCCAGCGCCGCCTATGGAGTATTTTGATGAACCGTTCTTGAAGAGGATTGGCGTAGGGATTGGCTGGCCGATGAAAATTGACACCACAACAAGCATTGCTTCGAAAGGGATGTTCGCTCGCATTTGCATGGAGGTTGACCTTACAAAGCCACTGGTGTCCAAATTTGTGTTAAACTTCAAGGAAAGACCCATTGAATATGAAGGTTTCCAGCTCGTCTGCTTCAAATGCGGAGTCTACGGTCACCTACAGGAACAGTGTGGAGGCCATGGTACTAGAGCCGCGAATATTCCTGGACAAGGTGGAGGGACCCAAGAGCCAATTGTACAACCAGTGGTTAAACAAGTTCCTTCCGAGAAATATGGCTCGTGGATGCTGGTTACTCATAAAGAGAGATGGCCTCGCAACACTGCTCCAATTTACCCAGTTGATCGCCCACCTGCTCAAAGAAGACAGATGTCCCCAAAAACTGAGCAGATAGGGGCTTGGGATCGTCATCCCTTTTTGCTACTCTTGTCGGTTTGGAAGATGATGGGGAAAACCAAAACTCAGTCTGGGCAAGATGCTAGTGCACTTCTCCAATAGACGGAAGGGGTCCTTCCTAGAATTAGGAACAATTACCGCAGCCGGAGCAAACTCTGGAGGAGCCAAACCAGAGTGTCTTACCTTAGTTTGTCTCCCAAAGTCAGCCGCATTTGGCTTCCGGGGAGGGCTCAGAGGAGGCACTAGAAGGAGTCTTGGGAGGGGCCATGCACCAAACAGAGCAGCTGCGGAGGCTGAGCATACAGTTGTTCGGGGTTCTAACCAAGGGAGGAACATCACAACCATGACCATCCACCATGCCAATAGCACCCCAACTGCCTCACATGCAAATGATTTTTTGACTGGTTTCAAAGAGCACCTACCAGACCCAGGTCCTTCGCACTTGGATGTTGTTCTTCAGTTTGATGAAGTTATGGTTGATGATAAAGGTCCTGGTGCCCCTATTGGGCCGATTGCTCCCTATCTGCCGCGTTCTTGAATGCGTTTTGTTCTGTTTCTTTTATGTTGTTTATGTCGTGCCTCATTTGGAATTGTCAGGGTGCGGGTGCGGCGTCAAGAGAGTTTGGTCGCATCTTTAAATTTTTTGCTAGTTCTTATAATCTGGCGATAGTTTGTTTGTTGGAAACCAAGGTTTCGGGTAGCCATGCTAACACCATCTGCTCTCGTTTTGCTTTCGACGAGTGGGTTAGAGTGGAAGCGGTCGACTTTTTGGGGGGTTTATGGGTGTTCTGGAAGGATTTCATTGATGTTGTCATTTTAGATACTCATCTCCAATTTATCTCTATGCAAGTGAATGATGGGCAATCCGATCCATGGCTATTAACAGTCGTGTATGGAAGTCCTAATCAATATCTTCGCAGGCGGCTCTTTGCGGATCTATCTTACCAAACGTTCAACTCCCAAAATCTATGGCTAGTAGCTGGGGATTTTAACGCGGTTACCTGCCAGGATGAATCAAGCAACGCAGACCACTTTTCTACAGTCAGGTGCAGGGACTTTAATGAGTGAATTTTTCAGGAAGGTCTGCTTGACTTAGGCTTTGTTGGTAGCAAGTTCACATGGATAAGGCGTTTAAACACGCCGTTGTACAAAGGCGCCCGACTTGATCGAGCTGTTAGCAATGTAGAATGGAGAGTTAACTTCCCGGACACCATGGTGGAGCACATACCAATCATGGGTTCTGACTATGCCCAGGAATTTTAAGTTTAACATTGCTTAGGCCACACATCCTTCCTTTCAGTCTTTAATTCGGCAAACCTGGAATGACAAGGTGGGCATGGCTGCCAACATGAAGGTCATGGCATCAACTCTAGCCAACTGGAATAGATGCACTTTTTGTAACATATTTTACAGGAAGAAGCGACTGATGGCTAGGCTAGGGGGGATCCAACAAAGCTTAGCTCTTAATCCAAGACCATATCTCATCAAACTGGAAAGGAAACTGAGAAGGGAACTGGATGAGACACTCTATCAAGAGGAACTAGTTTGGTTTCAACGTTCAAGGGAAAAGTGGATCTCATCAGGGGATTGCAACACACGTTTTTACCATGCCTCAACAGCAACGAAAAAGGTTAACTCAAGCTTCAGCACATTGAGGAACGAGGAGGGTGTTTGGATCACGGAGGACCATGTCAAAGCACATGTTCAAGATTATTTTCTTAATCCTTTTGCAGATGGTTCCTCTGCCAATGCCACTGGGCTTCCACACGGACAGTTCCCTACTATTGTTGAGTCTGATTGGAATAAAATCAACGCTCCCTTCGACATAGATGAAATAAAGAATGCTATCTTCAACATGTCCGCTTGCAAGGCACCGAGCCCGAATGGTTTTTCAGCCAGCTTTTTCAGAAAACATGGCCTATAGTTGGAAGCTTCGTAGTGAAATATGCCCAGGAATTTTTCGACAGTGGTTGCCTCCCGGTTGGCATCAATGACACCTTCATTGCACTCATTCCGAAGATACCAAATCCGGAAATTGTGAAGCAATTTAGACTCATTGGCCTATGTAACGCACTATACAAGTTAATTACCAAAGCTATGGTGTCAAGACTCAAGATTTTATCAATGCAGCTGGTAGGATCTCACCTAAAAAGTTTTGTACCCGGGAGATCAATCACGGATAATATCTTAGTTTATCAAGAGGTCTTGCACTCTATGAAATCTAAGAAAGGTGCTTCTGGTTGGCTTGTCCTGAAGATTGATCTCGAGAAAGCCTATGATAGGCTCTCTTGGGACTTTATTGTTGATACTTTGCAGGACATTGCCCTTAATCAATCATGGAGGAGGAACATTCGAGAATGTATCACGTCATCAAGGCTAGCTGTGCTATGGAACGGGAAGCAAACGGAATGGTTCAAACCGAAAGGAAGAATTAGACAAGGGGACCCTCTCTCTCCTCTATTATTTGTGTTGTGCGTAGAGAGGCTTAGTCACTTAATTGACGAAGCTGTTCGGCTTGGGCGTTGGAAAGGTATTAAATTAGCAAGAAATGCACCTCATATCTCTCATCTTTTTTTTTTTCGCAGATGATCTGGTTCTGTTCGGGGAAGCAACATTCGAGCAGATGCATGTAATGAAAGGCTGCCTTGATTAATTTTGCCTCTGTTCGGGTCAGAAAGTAAACTTTCAGAAATCGGCTATCTACTTCTCAATGAACACTAGCTTGGAGCTGCAGCAACAGATTATCAATGTGGCCGGAATCCCAATGGTAACAGACATGGGTAAATATCTTGGTATCCCCTCGATCCATGGGAGGCTTAAGAGTGATTCGTTTGCGGGCTTAATGGAGCGCATATAGTCAAGACTTGCGGTTCGGAAGGCCAAAACCCTCTCATTTGCAAGTAGACAAGTCCTAGCGCAGTCAGTGCTCTCGTCAATACCACATT